CATATGAATAGAATGTGAAACGAATACCAAATGTGTAGAAACTAAGACCGAATTCAGGACAATCTCCAATTCAATCAGTTAGCCCACTTGTAAAAAGATAAAGAATGATGAATGCCTCTGTAGATTATGATACAAGTGGAAACAAATCAACTCTTGGCAAAACAATGATAGAAACAGAACAATTACAAACAATAAGTGAGGTTGATAGACCAAAATCGAAAGTAGATACTAAGAAGAGTAGTAATGTTTCAAATATCTAGAAGAGATTTAAATGATTATATTTAATAACTAATAATAATAATTATTATAAAATGGCTGGTGTTTTGAAGACTGTTGGAGACTACTTTGAATTAGACAAGTATCAGAATGAGATAGCTCCAGTTGTAAAGGAGAACTATGATATGATTTAGAAGATGGTAGAGACAAAAGAGAAGGAGTGTTTGAATAAGAATTTAGATAATGAGTAAAAATACATTGAGTGTATGTAAAAGAATGCTGAACGATCATAAAGAGCATTAAAAAGACTTGGTAATGAGATGATTATAATGATGATAAGAATATGGTATTATGTATTGGAAATAAAAAACTTATGAGTGTTTTCATAATGAAGCTTACAAGGATAAGGAATTCAAGAATTTCGACAGATGCAAACCCATAGCAAATCGAGAATTATAAGAAATCTTTTCCAGTTTTAGGTTGTGAATAATGATGTTCATTAAATATAAATTTTATTAAAAAAAGATATGAATAAATAGCGCAAGACTCAATTGGAAGAGTTGCAGGAGAAAGAGAGTAGCTTTGGTAGAGTGTTCAAAGTGGCTGGTCCATGTAATTAGTGTTCTCTAATATGAATAGTGGTCGTGGCTGAGAAAATGGCAGGAGCTAAGATGTTTGAGTTAGTGAAAGTCGGTTGGGATAAGTTGGTTGGTGAAATCATTAAATTAGAAGGTGATAATGCATCTATTCAATGTTACGAAGATACATGTACTTAAAGCTCATTTATAAATGATTAGCTGGATTGACAGTCGGTGATCCTGTCATGAGAACAAAGTCCCCACTCTCAGTTGAATTGGGACCAGGTATTCATACTAAACCTATGTAGGTATTTTGACTCAAATTTTCGACGGTATTCAAAGACCCCTTTAAGTCATTGCTGAACAATCTGCTTCCATTTTTGTGCCAAGAGGTGTTGATATTCCAGCATTGGATTAAGACAGAATTTGGGAGTTCAAACCCTCATCTACAATCAAAGTAGGCTCAATGATTAGCGGTGGTGATATCTACGGCTCAGTCTTTGAAAATAATCTCTTTGATGAACATAAAATATTGACAGCACCAAGAGTCCAAGGAAGAGTCACTTACATNAGAATAGAGAAGTTCATCGATCCATAGTTACACCTCTTTGGTTTCATTATTGCAAACAAAAAGGAAATCTAATCTCAAGATGAAATAAAGAAGGCCACAGTTTAGACTAGACAATAGCAGAGTGTGTCAACTTATGAATCGAATGTGAAACGAATTCCAAATGTTTAGAAGATGAGACCTAATTCAGGACAATCTCCCATCCAATCAGTTAGTCCTCTCATTAAAAGACAAAGAGGTATGAATGCCTCCGTAGATTATGATACAAGTGGAACTAAATCGTCTCTTGGGAAAACAATGATAGAGACAGAACAATTATAGACAATCAATGAGATTGATAGACCTAAATCGAAGTTGGAGTCTAAGAAGAGTACAACTAGCAACAATATTTCAAATATCTAGAAGAGATTTAAATGATTATATTTTAATAACTAATAATAAATATAAAATGGCTGGTGTTTTAAAGACTGTGGGTGACTATTTCGAATTAGACAAGTATCAAAATGAGATAGCTCCATTTGTAAAAGAGAACTATGATATGTTATAAAAGATGGTTTAGACTAAAGAGAAGGAATGTTTGAACAAGAATTTAGATAATGAGTAGAAATACATTGAATGTATGTAAAAGACTGCTGAACGATCAGAGAGAGCACTAAAAAGACTCGGTATTTTGATGATTATAATGATGAGAATATGGAATTATGTATTGGAAATAAAAAACTTATGAATGTTTTCATAATGAGGCTTACAAGGATAAGGAATTTAAGAATTTCGAGAGATGCAAACCAATTGCTAATCGAGAATTATAAGAGGTCTTTTCAAGTTTTAGGTTGTGAATAGTGATGTTCATTAAATATAAATTTTATTAAAAAAGATATGAATAAATAGCGCAAGACTCAATTGGAAGAGTTGCAGGAGAAAGAGAGTAGCTTTGGTAGAGTGTTCAAAGTGGCTGGTCCATGTAATTAGTGTTCTCTAGTATGAATAGTGGTCGTGGCTGAGAAAATGGCAGGAGCTAAGATGTTTGAGTTAGTGAAAGTCGGTTGGGATAAGTTGGTTGGTGAAATCATTAAATTAGAAGGTGATAATGCATCTATTCAATGTTACGAAGATACATGTACTTAAAGCTCATTTATAAATGATTAGCTGGATTGACAGTCGGTGATCCTGTCATGAGAACAAAGTCCCCACTCTCAGTTGAATTGGGACCAGGTATTCATACTAAACCTATGTAGGTATTTTGACTCAAATTTTCGACGGTATTCAAAGACCCCTTTAAGTCATTGCTGAACAATCTGCTTCCATTTTTGTGCCAAGAGGTGTTGACATCCCTGCATTGGATCAAGACAGAATTTGGGAGTTCAAACCCTCCTCTACAATCAAAGTAGGCTCAATGATTAGCGGTGGTGATATCTACGGCTCAGTCTTTGAAAATAATCTCTTTGATGAACATAAAATATTGACAGCACCAAGAGTCCAAGGAAGAGTCACTTACATTGCACCTGAAGGCAATTACACTTTAAAGGACAAAGTCTTGGAAGTAGAATTAGATGGCAAGAAACACTAATATGGAATGAGTCACTTCTGGCCTGTCAGACAACCCAGACCTATCATTGAGAAATTGTAGGGTAATACACCACTCCTTACAGGACAAAGAGTTCTTGATGCACTCTATCCATCAGTCTTGGGAGGTACATGTTGTATCCCAGGAGCCTTTGGATGTGGAAAGACTTGTATTTCTTAGGCACTTTCTAAATATTCAAACTCTGAATGTATCATCTACGTTGGATGTGGAGAAAGAGGAAATGAAATGGCTGAAGTGCTCAGTGAATTCCCAGAATTGACTATTCAAATGAAAGGAAGGGAAGAAAACATTATGCAGCGTACTTGTTTAGTCGCCAACACCTCCAACATGCCTGTGGCTGCAAGAGAAGCATCCATCTATACAGGAATTACTTTGGCTGAATACTTCAGAGATATGGGTTTCAATGTATCTATGATGGCTGATTCAACTTCAAGATGGGCAGAGGCATTGAGAGAAATCTCTGGTAGATTGGCTGAAATGCCTGCAGATTAAGGTTATCCCGCTTATTTGGCATCCAAATTGGCTCAATTTTACGAAAGAGCAGGAAGAGTCAGATGCAGAGGTTCACCTGACAGAGAAGGATCCATTACTATTGTCGGTGCCGTTTCACCCCCAGGAGGAGTATAGACATACTTATTATCTTTAGGATTTCACAGATCCAGTCACAACTGCCACTCTTACTATTGTTTAAGTCTTTTGGGGATTAGATAAGAAGTTGGCTTAGAGAAAGCATTTCCCATCCGTAAATTGGACCATCTCCAACTCTAATTACGAAAAGATTCTTGAACCATATTTCAATGCCTTTGATCCAGAGTTTTCTCATTTGAGAGTCATGTTCAAATAAATCTTGCACGAAGAATCTGAATTGAATGAAATTGTCCAATTGGTCGGTAGAGATTCTCTATCTGAGGATTAAAAATTATCTTTGGAAGTATGATAAATGATCTCTATTTTTAGATTGCCAAAATCATCAGAGAAGATTTCTTATAATAAGATGCTTTCAGTAAATATGATTATAATTGTCCACTCTATAAAACTATTGGTATGATGAGATGCATAGTTTCATTCTTTGAGTGTGGAAAGAAAGCCATCGTTGAATCATCAGGAGATGCAAAAATCACTTGGAATGTCATCTTGAATCAAACTAAGCCATAATTTGTCAAATTATCATAAATGAAGTTTGAGGTATTATCTTATTCTATTATTATAGGATCCAAAACAACCTAAATAAGAATTGATGAATTATTTCACTAAATTCGTAGACGAGATCAAATCAGCATTTAGAAACTTAACAGATAAATGAGTATTAATAACAATTACATAAATAATTATTATATGATCAATTTTATTCACATAATTCTTTTCACATTAGTCTCCGCCAAAACTAATGAAGAAGAATTGAGAGAAGCAGCTTGTGTTATATTTTCCAGATACATACTACAGGTCTAATCACTCTAAGCTAGTCCACAAATTGGAAAATTGATAAAGGAATAGAATTATAATTAGGATGATGCCATTTATGTAGTCTAAGCAGCAGCACTTGATAAATGCTTAATTAATGTCAAATAAAGAGAAGTCACTAGAGTAATCTTTATCTCTTATATTCTAAGATACTAGATGGATTACAAAATCAACAATTAGACTTAGAAAAATATATCCATCTTCATGAAAATATTAAATATGACAGATTCATCAATACTTAAAAAGAAGTAGCTAAACTCAACTAATTAATTGAAATCATCAAGGATGTTGAAGAATTAATACAGACTTAATGGGTCAAGAGACCTGAAGTTGAAAAGAGAAGATAAGAATAAATAGAGTCTGAAGAAATGGATCAAGAAATTATTACTCAATTGAACGAAGCCCCCATTACAGAATAATTTGATCTCACCAAGTTTTCATTGAAACACATACTTCTTAAAAATAAGGAATATTTGATTTTCGCAATCTTCATTTTAGTGCCAATTGTTTTAATACTAAATAGTATTAGTTTTTATTAATTTCAGGTTGTTGTAAGTCTAGTCCTAAAAAAGATAAGAAAAAATCTGAAAAGAATGAAAAAAAGGATTCTACTTAATCCAAAACTGAAAATGAAGAAAAGAAGAAATCCTCCTAAGTTAAAAACAGCGATAAATCTGAGAAAAATAAAAAAAAAGAAGAATGAGTAGCATATTTAAATATTTATGTATGCATATATAGCTTTCTTCAATGTTATCATATAAAATTAATTTAAATATTTATTTATACCATATGTCTTATATCTATTTAAGAATCTTATTTTTGATAAGCAAGCATCTACATATATATATTAATCTTGTAATCAAATTTGTATAACAATAATTACTTTTTTAATATAATAAAAATTATATATTTAGAAATAATATTAAAAATAATAATTGGTTTCCAAAAAATTATTCTTCTGAAAAAATTTGCCTTAATCTATCTTTGAATCCTTTTTTTATCTAGTTCTTAGAGACCAATTACAATTTATTAATTGAAAAAATCATTAAATTTATCATTAACTAGCTATTATTTTTTAGTTCTTCAATGCTGGGTTAAATTTTATTCACCCCAATACTTCAATTTAATACTCATAGCCAAAATGTATTTTTTCTTATTAAATTATAAATCTCCTCAATTTCAATCTTGAGGTCCGCTTAACTATCATGAAGACTTTTATGCATATAATTATAAGATAGTAAATAATAAATTCATGATCAAGTGTAAACTAAGGAGAAACTAAATTATATTTTTTGGAGATGTTTAACATTGAAGTTTAATTTAACTCATAACAAAAAATTATATATAAAAAATCAAAATTTTATTCTTTAACTTTTTATTCTATGCAGTTAATATTTTTACACTACAGTTCATTTAGTAGGATCTAGTATTATCTGATAATTTGACTAATCAATTCCAATTGGGATCAAAATGTCTAGACCCCCTATACATTTTTCCTCAGAGAAAAGGTAAACAAGGGGAGAAGTTAAAAACTTAGGTGCTGTTGTATACTCTATTTTTTATATATATAAAATATAAGTTAGTTATTTTTAATAATAATTATTATTAAATGGAGCATCATTTATATATAGAGAAAATAACTGAGGAGAGGAGAATTCGAGACGAATAGTAAAATTTTAATTTAGGTTCCTAAGACGCACACAAAGACTATAGGAGGAGGAGAGAAACAAAGAACAATCACTTTAGAAACTTGAGTCAATAAGATTATAATAATTAAAAGAACTTTAGGATTCTCGTAGATTGTAATCCAAATTGAATATTTCATTTATTTAATTGAAATCGGATGAGAGAAACCAAAAGGTAAAGGAATAGAATAAAAGAGTCAAATAATTATTAGAGAAATTTAGATAAGAAAAATTATAATAAGAAACTCAGAAAAAGTAGTTGGAGGAACAGAGAGAAGAAGAGATCAAATAAAAACTACTTTAAATAAAGGATAAGTTTAAAGTGTTGTCCACAGATGAAATAAAGGAACATTAAAATCAATATAAGAAATATTAAGAGGAACATTATTAATAATTGGAAAATCTTCGAGTACAAAAGAAACTATAAGACACTTATTTTTCTTAATAAGTTTAATCTAGAATAAGGAGTAGAACATATTAGTCCTAACTTGAAATGATGAAAGAAGAGGAGTAAAAGAGAAAGGAAAGCGAAGAACGATTACGAAACCAAATAAAACACAGATTTGCCTATGATCAAATTGTTAAAGAAAACTTCTTACCAAAAATATCTCATAGCATTGATCAATCGACTCATACGATAATCAATAAAAAATAATAAAATCAAATATCTCCAATAAAAAGTGACTCTAAGATCTTAGGCAATCAGTACTTGAGATAAATAAGAAAATTACCAAAAAGACCAAGAATTTAGTCATAGATGGGCGTTGATTAATCATCATCTTCAACATTAAGGCGAGATTACCTTTCAGAAATTCGATAGTATTCAAAGAGAAAGACTCCTTAAGCCCCAATCGATATTAAATTGCAAGCAGATATGTACGAAATTATTATTAATAATGAAGGTTGGAAAGAGAGTCTAGATAAGCATACACAAAAAATAAACTAAAAGGCGATTAACTGCTGATGGACTCGATAAAACAAAAAATGCTATTGTTAGAAATATGAATATTAATGATACTATTTTAAGTTCACTCATTTAAAACCAAAATTGACAATTTTCTTAATTCCTACATATATAAATCTGAAGCCCCATAATTCTAACCCCTTAATGATTGAACTAAATCTTAAATCTTTTCAACGGGCACAATTTCATTAAGTGTTTTCTTGGGTATCATCAAACTATAAAATTGCAATATAACATTACCTAGAATTAACAGATTTCAATTCAAGACTTGACTTTTAGAAAGACAATCTTCCTGGAGAATGTTTTGAGTATTATTTGGCTCTTAACGGGGATTATTAAGGAGTCACTTATTATGTCCTAGGTGATTTTGGAGATTGAGTTGTCTTTACTAAAGGTTTCCATGTGATGATCCCTTTTTCTTTTACCTGCTAAATTGGATTCTTTTAATTTTAAAATCTAGTAAATAACTAATCTTTAACATCTTTTCTCAATTATTGCTTTGAACCATATTGCTAATTACTTAATATGAATGAACTCTATTGCATTAATTATTAAATATAATAACAGATAAATTGTATTATTATTATAATTCAAGACTTTTACAACCAATACTGAGAAATTACACTCTAAATCTACTAGTGAAATAGATTATCCCTTAAATAGATTATCTTTAAATAAAAGAGACAGACTAATATTTTATGAATAGTTTTAGCTGCATGCATAAACTTTTGGAAAATATTTTAATCCACCAATTTGTTCCATCATAATTTTTTATATATATAATTGTTTTTCTATATTACGCAAAATTTAATATATCTAGTACATTTTATTTGTTGAATATATAATTATTTATAGAAAACATACACATAGTTGAAAATGGCTGATATACTTACTCCTAATGATATCAATCAGGCCCCATAGGCTTACCTACAAGACCAAATGGTATCTCATAATTAAGCACCTGCTGTACCATAAGCATAACAAAATAATCCCATTTTTGTATATGCTCCTCAAATGTAATAAAAAAATCAAATGACTTATGCTAAAAATCAAGTCCAACCTGTCTAGTACCCATAATTATAACAACCTCAGCTATATCTTTAATAACCTTTATTACCAAATTAATAACAACAATTACCTTAACCCTAAGTAACCTAAAAATAGGATACTTTGAAGCACTAGGAGCTAAGCTAAGCTGGTTATATGGAGAGAAGACATTTTAACATGTCAGTCTTAAAATATTTCTTATTCTTTCAAGCTTTTGCTCTCCTTTTATGTTTATGTTCTTATAGGAATGGCTTCATTAAGCTTTCTTATAACTTGAGTGGGTATTTCAAATTACCCTTCTACATTTTTGTTTCTGTAATGAGCTTGTCTTTATTATATTCATACACAGCTCACAAAAAATTAAGAGATAAACAACTAAGATTTATTTTGCTTGTGGCTTATACTTTGTCCTATGGATTTTTCTTTTAAGCTATTTACTCCTCTACTTATTATTATTATAATTATTCCAATTACGAAGGAGGTTATCTCAAAACATTCAGTGGTGATGACGAGATTGTAATTATCATACTGTGCTTCATCAATCTTGAAACTTATTCCTTATTTTCCTATTGCATGTAGGAAGTTGAACAATTAAGCATAAAAAGTTAAAATTAATAATTATATTTCTAGAATCATTCTGGTATATAGTTTTACCAAATGTCACTTTCGGAGCTATTCTGTTCTCTCTTTATTACAAATACGACATATTATGTATATTGATAGTAGTGAGTTGCTGTTATGGATTTTACCTCCAATTTACACTAAAGAGAATGACTTGTTCTAAGAAAGTAAATTTTTAATTATATTTTAGTTTAAATTAAGATCAGATGATGGTCAATTTGCTGCAGTTTTGTTTAGCTTCCTGTTATTGGTTCCATTCTTTGATTTGAAATGCAAGAGCAATGAATAACAAGTGAAGAAACCCCAAAGTAAAAATACTGAATAGAAAAATGTACAATGAGGAAAATTATAAAACAATATTCATAATTTATATCACTATTAAGTTATATACATATCTATTAATATTTTTATATAATGGCTCAGCAATAGCGAAATGAAACAATAGTACCTATTTTAGTAACTTAAGATGAATATAATGAAATTATGAAATAACCAGATTATATACAATAACAACTCTTATAATAATTGCAACAGAAAAAGTAGGAATAATAATCATAAATATATCAGCATCCTTATTTGTAATATCAAAATTAATAAGAAAATAATAATAGGGGAATCCCTCCTATCCCTTAACAACCTAACGAGCAGACATATTAATAATAATAATACTATTAATACACTCCTCAGCAATAACTTCTTTAATAGTATAATCAAAATTTAAATTAAAATCTAATATAAAAAGAAATCATAAACTTGTAACATAAAGAAATTGAAGTTGCTGGTGAACATGAAGTCAACTTCTTTAATAAAAACCTAGCCAAGTTTTTTGCTTTAGAATTAACAATCTCGTTGGTGTTAAATTTCTTTTCCGCAATATTTCGAATGAAGATAATTAATAGTTATTGGCATTGGAATTCCGTATTATGGATTGTTTTAATTTCATATGTACTCTTGAATTTTTTCATTTTAACCAATCCAAAGATAATCTTATAAGTATTTATTTGTAATAATTCATAGAATAATCGTCAGAAGTCCTTTTATGTTATTCATGTAGTTTTATATTCCTTGCTCATGTAAGGATTGTAAACAGCAGTATAAGGTTATGAATACTTCAGATGGAACTATTTCTTTTTCTTTTATTTCATGATTGCTGCTTGCCTAATTTCAGTAGGACTAGTGATAGCAAAACACGGGATTAATCTTGCTTAACCACTTTATCTACCAGCAACAATTGTTCCTGTATGTTTTGTTTTCTTACTCCAATTCTTCATTTCATATTACTTTTATTGGCCACTTCTTTTATGGGGAATCGTTGTAGTGTTTTTGGCATAAGGAATATTATTGCTTTTTAAAAGAATAAATAAAATTGGATATGTAATGCTTATTTGTATTTTTAGAGCAAACACCAAACCAGCGACTTTTATGCAATGGCATCTGTTATGCACATTTTAATGATCAGTCCATTTTATGATAATGAATGATTATAAATTAAATTGATAACGAATAATAATTTATTTTAATAATTATACCAGTAATGATATCATCAATTCTGTGAGATCATATATAAATTATAATTATACAATCAATCAACATGAATCAGCAGCTAGAGAGTAAACACGTCTCCTTGAATCAAATTCAAACTATTAATTAGAATTTCGAGACAATGAATCAGTGTCCTCATTTGCTCTCATTTCTTTTGGGTCTAAATTCCTTGGGAAATTCGATTTTACGAACTTAAATCTCTTTGGTCTTTTATTTTTATATGAATTACTAAGGCTGTCGTCAAAATCTCTAGGACTTAGATCCTAAATAATAATTATTAATTAGGCATCTTACATTAATTGTTTCAAGGCTATTTTCGATGTAACTTAGATTGTGTTCTCCTCTTAGTTCTAATAATAGTTTTTCAATACGGTGATTTTTACTAATCAACATGTCTAATGATTATTTTAAAATTATCAACCTTTTATTTCATTCTTTTATTGTATACAGATGCGATTTTACTTATATAAATTGTATGTGATGTATAGAATCTTGCCTTCAATTGTCTCAAATTGATCCATGATTTTATTAATAATAATATTAGTAAGTTTAGAAAATAATAATTCAAAGTGATTTTATGTAATCATCAATAATCCTGTATAAAAACCTATTTAAGCTAGTTTATGCATATAAAATTGTTATTCCAATTTCCTAGCAGTTTTGAATCATTTTCAATTATATCTCATCTTTTCAACAAAATGTGATATCTATTTTGAAGTATATAATTCCAAATTCATGAACCTCAATATATATACCATAAAATAATATGTCTAGCATTTCTTTTTCTATTCTATTTTCTTAATTGCTTATATGCATCAGTTGAATAATCAACTGGATTTAAATCTCAAATTTATATTAAATTATCTTTCTAGATAAAAATTTATAATGTAGAAATATTAATTATTAAATCTTGCTTAATCTATTGTTAGCAACCTAATAGGTAATTCAATTGCACTTTCTTTAAAATCTCAATATATTATATGATGGTCTTCTTGAGCAAATTTGAAATTTTTTACATAGAATTTATCCGAATTCATTCCCTAAATTATTTATTATTTAGATACTATAAGTATTGGATTTTAGCCTATTCACAAATAGTTTTAAATTTAAAATTAGAGTTATGCGAAAAACTAAAATAAGACAGAGTTCCGTTGATTTTTGATAAATTGAAATATTTGCCATAGCTCTTATGAAAAAGTATTACATTATTTAGTAAAACATTATTATTTTATATATTAAAGTTCAAAATATTTTAATTTCATGAATTAATCCTAAAAAGTTCAAATTTATCATTTATTAATGTAATCTTTAATTTAAACGTATGAAAATAAAATAAAATTTTGGTTATGAGTTGTGAGGGGAGAAGAATTAAAAATTAAATTGCTTGAATGATTTTTATTTTTTCTAGTCTTTTCGGATTTACCATTTCTTCCAAAAATAGTATTTTCTAAATATATCATTGATGCATAGTTTCTATAAATTTAGATTTATATTTTAAAAAAAATTTCTTATAATAATATCTATATTTTATTGGTATTAAAATTAAGAAGAATAAAACTCTAGGAAGATTGCTTAAAAACAAAGTAAATTTAATTAAATGCATTTTAATAAAGTATTAATCATGTCAATAAAAAATAACAGAAATTTATTTCGAAAATTTAATCAATCAATTTCTCTGCACCTAGAATTTTATGCATATCCTTTGCCTTTAGAAAATGTTTACATGATCCAGATAAAAAGATCCATTTTAATATATAAATATATATAAAAGTTACTCATTCAGCTCCTATTATTGTTAATAAAAAAATCTTCGCAATAATAAAGAAAAATCTAAAGATATTCTTACTAGGATTGTATAATAAATCTATAGTGTTTTTCAATTTCTTAAGTTAGGAGACATGATTCTTCATTTTTCTAAATATGCTTGAAATTATAAACAAAAATTTTTTATTAAAATAATTCATATAATTCATAATATTTTATTTTCTTGCAATAAACCTTTTATGTATATCAAGCCCTTCTGATTCATTTGAATTTGATTTTCAGTAAGATTTATTGTTAAATTTTGTTATTTAGGGATAAAAAAATTTTATCAAGTGAAGATTCTAATTAGGTTGGGGGATGTGCTTAATGTAGAAATAATTTTGTCCCAACTCTCACTTATTTCATAATTATATAAAAATAGTACAAAAAATTTAATTAATATATTTTTAATTTAGAAAATAGTTGTTAAATTCAATTAAAGTTAAAAATATACATTTTGGGTAATGGAATAATTTAAAGAATTTAGTTGTGAAAAATGGAGCCTGAAGTCTAACCTTTCATTTTGAAATACTAAAAAATAAGGAAAAGTGTATAAAATTATAAAATAAATTTATCAGTTAATTAAATTTTAAAGAAATTTAATAACAAACTCTAGAACAACCATAAAGAAATTTTCATTAAGTTTTTTTCATTTCATCAACCTAAATATTAAAAAATAGGATTGATATATTGGTATAAAAATCTTCTGAGCAGATATGTCCCTGAATTTATCTCCAGTTTCAGAAATTAATTTCAGGTTGAAATTTACATCTTTATTGTAGCCAGAGCAAAATTGAGTTATAGACTACATTTATTGTTTGTATGTAGTAACACTAGAGAAAGACTGCTTTGAAGGAGGATTCTAAAGTTGAAATGTATAAATTAGATGAAAATTATCCTTAAGAAAATTATTCAAAGAGACATAAATCATTAAGCATACAAGAGCAGTCCTTTATATTTTGTTGTATCTAACTCTAACACATGTAAAAAATTTTATTTTTATTAATGAATTTAATACCATATTTTGTGATTCATAAAAAAATTTAAAAAATTATTTAAATTAATTAATCTGTTTGTCATTTTGATTTACCTGTCGATGTTTATAATCAAAAATGATATTAAAAGACAAAATTAATAATTATATATAAGATGAACAAATCTTTGTTACTTTTCATTGGTCTCTTGGCAACAACATATGCTGTTACATTTGATACAACAATGCACTGTGCATGTGAAGAATTGAATTAAACTGAATGTGCTAAATAAATTGGATATTGTAAATGGTCAACTGCTTGTGAAACAGTAGAATATACAGCTCAATCTTGCTCAAATGTGACTTAAGCCAACTGCACAGCCAAATTAACAGGATATTAATGTGCCTGGGAAAGCTCATCATGTGTTGAAAAATCATACTCATGCGGAGATTTCACAACAGCCGATGACTGCCCCAGATCAATTGATTGTTATTGGAATAAATCAGGAAAATGTGCTTCATTTTCAACATGTGGTGATTATGATGAAACCAATTGTCGTCGTTATGGATGTAAATTCACTTCAGGTGCATGCGCTTCATTTACATGCTCTTCATACACCGCTGAAGCAGATTGCAGTGGTTAAGATTCAGAAACTACTCGTTGTGCATGGACAACTGATGGTAAATGCTAAGCTTTGTCTTTGACCGCAACATGCACTGACTTAAGTAACTATAAATCCAGATGTGAAAGCAGTAGCAGCTGTAAATATGCCTCAAGTTCATGCTCTTATAAGACATGCGCTGACATCACAAATGAAAACTAATGTTATGTTGTTAAATCAAGCCAAACTGAAGTTACATTATGTGCTTGGAGTGGAACAGCTTGTGCTGATGCAGCTGATACAAGCAAATTAACATAAGATAACTGCTTCGAAACATCTTAGTAGAATTACAGATGGTCAACTGATAGCAAATGCGTTGAATGCTCTGATTTAGTTTCCGATGATCTTTCAAGCAACGCTGTTATCTTATCAGTTTTTGTTGCACTTGCCTTAATTGCTTGAGAATATAAATATGTTAAAGATTAAATCATTTTCATTTTATTTTAATTTCTCTTCTTTAGTTAATTTTCATAAAAAAAAGAGATTTAATTTTGGCTTGCAAAATATTCCTTAACTTATTTAATTATAATTTTAAAAGAAATTAAGCATAAACATTCAATTTTTCAAACAAGGGGGAAAATTTTACTTCCCTCCATTTTGATTTAGTATGCAAATTCAAATTTAAGCTTAAAATTTCTAATATTTTGCATTTTTACATGAAAATTATTTTAGTATAGTTACAAACAATAAGATTTATAAATTTCTTGTTTAATAAAATTTAGGATTATTAAAGTAGGGAATTTTGTATACTATCAAGTTAGTTAATAAATTTATAGAAACATGGCAATTATTTTTCTTGAATTAACTTAAAAACCTAGCAAATTAATATCTAAATGCTGGATTATCGTATTTTAATATCATAAAATATATTTTAGAATTAAGCTTGTCTTTTATGTAACATTTACACATAACTTGCTCTTTTTGGAGAATATATTTTTTAAGTAAAAAAGAGCATAGAATAAAAGATAAAATTTAACATGAAAGGTTAAATTTTGTGGCAATTAAATTTATCTCTGATAAAAATTCTTGAATTAGTAATTGAGTAATGTGACTCTTAATTACATTTATAATTTAATTTAATTAGAAATTGCATAATATAAACATAAAAAAATTTATTAAAATAATGCTGATTAAAATGACATTATTTTTTTTCAAAGTTAAAATAGTCAAATTGATTAAAAGAGACTAAGGAAGAAGAATCAAATTAAACTAAATTTAAGATTCTTTATCTTATAAATATAAAATTCAAAAAATTTCTTATTTTCTTATAATGTAGCACATATCTATTAAGGTATTAGAATAAGTAGAATAAATTGAATTTATAACAAAATGACGTATTTAAAAATGGAAGTCAAGTGTTTACATAGTAATTTTGGATAATTAGTAAATATGGTTATAGGGTCTTAATTGGAATTGTTTCTGTGCTGATTATCTTAATAATGAGGATTTTTAAAGTTTTTAGGTGTAGATTGTCTTATTAATCTAGAATCCAAAATCGTTAAATAATTATTTAAATAAAAATGGAAAGTGTGAATTTTGGTGGTGATAATCCCTAGCCACGTTTCGGTCATACTATATGTGTAATAGCACCTAACAAGATTGCATTATTTGGGGGTAGAAGCAAGTTTAAATATTTTTATAGGTGCAGTAGGAGACACAGGACGATATGTGATCACGGGTGATGTGTATATAGGAGACATGACAACAAAGAAATGGAAAAGAATTGAAGCAAGTGGAAGTGTACCAACAAATAGAGCAGCACATTAAGCGTTAGCAATAGAATTGAATTAAATGATAATATTTGGAGGAGCTGTAGGTGGAGGAGGATTGGCAGATGACAATTTATATGTATTTGAATTAAGAGATGATACTGGAACATGGGTAACAGTCCCAGTCATAGGTACAACCCCAGGGAGAAGATATGGCCATACAATGGTGCTGATTAAACCACATTTGATAGTTTTTGGAGGTAATACAGGATAAGAACCTGTCAATGATGTTTGGAGTTTTAATTTAGAGAAATCGCCATATTCTTGGTAAAAATTGGAGTGCTCTTCTGAATAGCCAAGTGTAAGAGTGTATCATTCTGCTGCATTATGTACAACAGGATCAGCAAATGGAATGATGGTTGCATTTGGAGGTAGAACCAATGATCAAGGAGCTTTGAATGATACTTGGGGATTGAGAAAACATAGAGATGGGAGATGGGATTGGGTGAGAGCTCCATATAGAAATTAAACTGAATAGCCATTGTAAAGATATCAGCATTCCACTTTATTTTTGGGAACATTAATGTTGGTTATAGGAGGCAGATCTAATAATGTTGGAGAAACCTTGCCTTTTGAAATTTATGATACTGAGACATCAGATTGGTATAAGTTTCAGGCAATCCAAAGATTTCGACATTCCTCTTGGTTGATTGACTAATTTCTATATTTACACGGAGGATTTGACTCTGATTAACCAAATATACCAACTGAAGGCATTTTAAGATTGAATTTAAATACTAGATTTGCTTAGACACCTCAATTGTTAAGACAAATGAATACTATAAGGACTGATCAATCATTCACTTAATCATTCAATCCAAGACCTCCAACTAATTAAGCATAAACTTAAGATTAGTTTAGAAGAACCAATCAACAATAGCCGTTAGCTAAAAGTATTTATTGTTATCAAATTAGATTAAAATACTAATCAGTAAGTGCGAGTATCTAGTGCAACTAATAAAAATATCAGATTAGCCAATTAAGCTATAGTTGCTATGACTTATGGACCAGAGGAAGATATAACAAATTAAGTCAAGAAGGTACCAATTGACAAATTACAGGATGAACATAAGAAATTGGGAGCTGGATTTTAGGATCCAAATTCCCAAAATAAATCCTAATTTTTAGATTAGTTATGCCAACCTTTTGTTTAAAACTTATTGATTCCTAAGGATTATTAATCAATTCCTCCAAATTCTAATTTATTGACTGGAATAAGAAAAGAAATGATAATTAAATTGTGTGATGAAGTTCAAAGAATTCTGGATAAGGAACCAATAGTTTTAAGATTAAGAAGACCAATCAAAATATATGGAAATTTGAATGGCTAATTCTTGGATTTAATGAGATTTTTTGATCACTTCAAAGCTCCATATGATAACTTGTATAATGGGGATATTGATTCATAAGATTATTTGTTTCTAGGAGATTATGTAGATAGAGGAACAAGGTCATTAGAGATAGTGTTATTATTATTCACGTTGAAATTAAAATATGCAGATCAAATTCATCTACTTAGAGGACATCATGAAGATGCTAAAGTTAATAAAATCTATGGATTTGCAGATGAATGCTTTATAAAATTTGCAGAGGACATCATGGATCCTAATAGCATATATTAAAGAATCAATAGAGTTTTTCAATATTTGCCATTAGCAGCAGTAATCGAAGATAAAATCTTATGTGTTCATGGAGGAATAGGATAGACTATGAGAACTGTAGATGAAATTGAGCTTATTTAAAGACCTTTAGAGATTGTGCATGATCCAAAAACTGTAAATTAATTTATTAAATTTTAGTATTAATAAAAGATAGCTTTAGAATTATTATGGTCAGATCCATGTTTATCTGAAGAAGAATTAGAGAATTAACCGAATCCAGAGAGAGATATATTCTAAAATAAATAGATCATAAGGTTTGGAACAAATAGAGTGAGCAAATTCTTATAAGAAAATAATTTGAACATCATCATACGATCACATGAACCAACACTAGAAGGCTTCGAAAGACAGAATAATAATGTCATTACTGTGTTCTCTTGTCCAGATTATGGTAGCAATTCTCAAAACAACAAAGGATGTACCCTATTTTATTAAGACTTAAGCCATGCTTACTATATCTAAAAGAGGTGAGATCATTCCCAAAGTTATTTTACCTGCAAATTCTACCTCAGAATCACGATGGATAGATCTAGAAGAACCTATTCAAAGGAAAAAGGGATTCGCCAAATATGTAGTTATAGATAATGATGAATTACAATATAGGAAAAGATAGTTCACTCCACTTAGATCGAAAAAATCTTCATCCTAAAAGTAATTCGCATGAATTAATTATTAATAATTCAATTAATTTTTGTATATTTTTTCATTATGAGAAATACAAATAATTCAATCTTATCTTACTAAATAATTTACTTAGAAATCCAAAATTTTAATTGTCATAATACTTAGTGATCACTTTGGACTTAGAAGGAACAAAAGTGTTTATTAAACTAGAAATATTAGTCGAGTTCCTTTATTCTATAATTTCTTTAAATCAAAATAGTATTTATAATTATTATTTAAATAAAATGGAAATACCTTTAGATCGGCAACAAAGCTTATTATATTAGATAGAGTATACGAAGTAGTTTCCCTTATGTGAAAAGCTGGTTTATAGTTTTATAACTATTTTATATTGCATTTTTGCACTCTTAATCATTCAAAATTAGTAAATATAATAACAAACTCAGTTGTATTGATCCATAATGCTAACATTCCTAAGCATTTGCAGAAACAATAGCATACTTATTTGTTGGAGCAATCATTTTAAGATTATTAATTATAATCGTTTTGCTTATATCCTATATGAGTCAGAAAGCATTAGTAACTGTTATAATTCTTGAATAGAAATTGAATGAGGCGGAGTTTTTTATAACTATAGTGTAATAATAATGTAATTTAATAGTTTCATGTTCTTTGCGATTATCTTCTATATAGGAGCTGAGAATTGTCGTAAAATGTAGGTTGGATATGCTTTTGTCTTCATCTTAACTTACGTGATCGTTAGATTGATGTGTTTACCAAATGGAGTAATAAACTATTTTGATGGTGAATACTTTTGAATTAAGTATAATTGATTCCTGATTTATAGAAAATAAACAATAATTTATTTTATTTTATTAGGTTTTATAAAAATGAAATATTGATTCAGTGTTGAATACCAATATAAAGCAATTCAGATTTATTAGATACAGAGTAACTCTATATTCTACTAACACTAATTCGTTACTCAAGTTCTTATAGAGGAGTGATCATTGTATTATTGAATTTCAAAATATAATTCTTTTTGATTCATCCTGATTAATTGTCCATTTATTATTGATATCCTTAATTCAATTCTAACTAAATGATTTTATTAAATATAACTTGAACTGAAATATATCTTTTTTTGGGTTTTTTTTTTATTTCTCAAATGATAAGTATTGATTTTGAACTATGCAAATCATTATTTATAAAAAATATGATGACAATATATTTTATTTCATATAGATTTGGGCAAAGTTATATATTATTTACGTATACTATTTATTAATTCTAATAATCATCAATTTCCTTTTAATTCATATATCATTAATTCATCTGTAGTATCACTGCTAAACATTACCATGGTTGTGAATGCCTTACCATTTCCATTTTATTAATTGAATATTTAAACCTTATGCTTGCCTTAACTTTGTTATACTGATAATTGATGCCCCATTTTAATGTCTTAGGAATGCATAGCATAAGGAGCCATGCTCAAATGATGTTGAGTAGCTATATTATCAGTGAAACTAAAAGTAATCAACCAAATAGGCGGATTACCTTAACATAAGAATATGGATAGTACTTTACTAATCAGATACTTCAATCAAAATACTCTCCATTTAATTACTTTATACCTTTCTATTCCCAAATTTTGAGAATACAATACAATTTCTAAGAATATGTAACCTATCAAATACCTGTTCAAATCAAAAAATTTAACTGAACCTTCATATGAGGCAATTATGCAATGGCCTGGCCATTAAGTAGCAATAAAAATCTGACTAATAGAACCAAAGAGAGGATCATTCAAAGTCTAATCACAAATGAGTATAGGATCTTAAGATGAACCATATTTAGTAAGTCTCCAAATATTTATTATTGAATCCTGTGAATAAGATAAAAATTTCTCTCCCTTCTTTAAGAGTGTCAATCCATTTATCTTGCTCAAAGAATTAGTATTACATGTTCCGATCTTTTAAGAGTAGATATTGCAAATGTTGACATCTTTATGTACGTCACTAAATGCAATGTGAGTACTATCCTTTAAATCTATGATACTAATTCCCATTTGTTATATTTGGATCTTTCTGAAAACTCTGGGTTGAGTGGAAACAATTATATCATCAATGTTCCAAACAATTATTTGCATGTCCAAACCCAAAGAAACAAACTATCTACTGTTATTCTCATTGTTATGTAACTTCTCAAGAGAAACTATATTCTAATTGTGAGCTTAGAATGTGGATATTTTTTTATTTGTGGAATCAAACATTCTTAATTGGGAATCGTTTTATGAACCAATCGCAAATAATTAATCTGAAATTGATAGAATACAAGTTATTTACGTTCCTATTGAGAACTTTTTTGTGGGTTTTAATAAGAAACTAAATAAATGGGATTATTTACTTATCTATATTTCTAGTTGGCAGTTATAGTTATAGGTTGTTTTCTCCTGTTAAAATTTAAGTTAATTCTTTGCTACAACCAAAAGGAATAAACATTCTCTATGATATAGTATTATTTAACACAAATCCAACTTCATTCACTAGCGAATCTAAGAAGTTGTTTTGCAGGTTTTGTATCTTATTATAATTTGGAGGAGAATTAGTCATTTGCATTACGAATCTTGCTAAAGTTTGCAATTCAGTTAACATTTATAATGGCGTAGCATTACCTTAAGAAAGTAATTTACTTTTGTTTATATGACTTTTTAAATTTGATAAAAATTATTGGGCTTCTGGTGTATCTAAGGATGCCAACTTGTATTAAAATGTATTTTGATTGGAATAATAGAAGTTCTGCTTTGACAATAGGAAAAACTAATCAATTTTTGTTTTTAAATTGATAAACGATTATTTGTATTGTTCATTAAAACTATCAAGTTTCTTGATATTTTCCTCTTTTATCGACTAAATTGCTACCATAATTCTATCTTGCAAATTTGCAATATCCATAACAAAGTCATTCTATAAATTTTTACGATAATAATATTACTTTTTGCCTATTAACCATTTCATCAATTTTTGATAGATGAGCATCTCCTTATTCTAAAATCTACAATAAAGTAATGTTCTCTTTATTTTACATGAATTCCTAATATAAAACACTGTTTTGGTTAGCAAATCTAGACATTTCTTCACAAAATTATGAAGTCTAATATAATGTAGGGCATTACAAATGTGTCTACATCAATAATCTTTGCTAAATGATCATTATGAAACAACTAAGGATCCTCTGGAGATTAAATTAAAGGTCTCTTATCACATACCAAATCAGAGCAGACCTTTGAGATTATTTACTGAGTTAAAGTGTTTTTTAAAGTTGGTAATGGCAAGGGAGCAGATAATTTGAATGCCAAAGATTCTTCCATGTCAATATAATTATATTCTAAATAAATTAATAATAAATTGTATATGCTGTTTGTATTTATATTGATTCTCTCATGGTTAAAACTATTCATATGTTCTACTGCCTCTGGTTTGACCCATAGATGAAGTAGTCGTTGTTCCACCTGTCCTTGAAACAACCTTTGACGTCGTGACAACAACTTCCTAAAAATTTTAGTGTAGATAATTACCTTCTTTTACCCTTTCCTCAAGGCCTCCAACTCAGCCTAGCACATAGTCAATTCTTCTTAGCATTCATTGTAATCATGATTAACTTTTATGAATTTCTACTTCCAGACTTCAACTTCTGAAGAAAGATAAGTGACTTTTTCCTAAACTACAGTCATTCCTTGAGATTCCAATTCTGCATATCTTTACTTCCAATCTTCTAAATCTCCATCTTTAACTTTGTTTGCATATGATAACCTCTCGATTTCTGATGAAAGCATAGCCACTTTGACCTCAAACTATTAAAATATCTTACCTCAAAATTTCTTATTTTTTAAATCAAATCTTCATTCTCCCTTCTCAAATCTGCATTTTCTTGTTACAATCTTCTAATCTAATCCTCATAATCTCTGATTTGTTACTCAAATTTGATTCTCAAATTGTAAAACTCTCTTTCTTTAGCTGCCAAGTCTTCAGTTTATGAACTTCTCAATTGAATTTCTCCTCTCATCGATTATAATTGAAGAGTCAATTAATCGTTTTCTGCTCTTAATTATCTTAATTGAGACTCTAACAACTCTACTTTCGAGTTATCTGTCACAATTTTTTCCTTCTCTACGATTTTCTCTACTACTTAGACTTCCTTTCTTTTCTCTAATTCAGCAATTAAGGATTGCAAATATTCACACTCCAATCTCCATGGTGCTTCAATCTCCTCCTTGGAAACAACTATAACATTCATGCATAATTGTTAGGCAGCCACGCAGTTTTATTATACTGAATAGTTGCCTTAATATCCAATCTAAGGTATTGCTGCCATATTAGACACATAGCTTTAACCGCCTACAAAACCTTGGGTTTGTGTTCTCAATATTTATTGAGACTGCATTCTTGGGTATTATTAGACGCTTCTCTATTCTACTTCTACTGTTCTTGTCTAAAATATTTAAAAACTTATAATACCTGCACTTTTGGTGTCTCACGATTAATAGTCTATTCCACTTTTTCTTAAGTAGTACTTCTAACATTATCCTTTGTGCCTGAAGTGTATTATCTTGAAGAAGAGGATGTAAAATATTATCTATTTTAGAAATCACTCATGATTGCAAATAAAATTTATTTGTATAAAAATTATGTATATCATAATTGAATTCATTACCAAATAATTATATATCAAAGGTTTAAACTGTTTCTGTTTTTTTATTTACATTCTTCAATAATCTAAAATTAATTTCTAATAAAAGTAATCTCACAACAAAACAAATTAACTACTATATCATAATTATTATTATGGATAAATTGTTAATTTTTTAAATAAAATGAGGAACCACATGTTATTTGTTTCACAGGTTAATTAATCTAAATATTTATAAGTTAATCATAAATTAATGTAATTTATTTCAATTTCTTTAAAATTCAATTATATTTAGTTATTATTTTCTCTAATACCTATTTCTATTAACCCAAACTTCTTATTTTGATTTCTAAATCCACTATTAATCAAGCTAAATGTTTTTAATAATTTACATTTCTATTTCAACTTAATAATTTTATTAAATCAAATATTAAGACTATAATATGATTTTTCATTCCTAACATATTTCTTCTTTGATTTTTCCTTCAGTATTTAACTGTTCTTTTGAAAATTTTTACAAAATATGTCATAATAAAATCTTAGTTTCCTTCTTATTCTATTATCATCTTAATGCAATCTCGATTTTCCTTCTGTGATGATTATTTAGCAATGAACCTATTCAATCAATTGTTTTATATCTTAGATTGTAATAATGTACTAATTTGTGCAAAACTCATTCATTATTAAATAATTTATCAATAATGAATTAGTTAATGGAAGTTAAGAAAAGTTAACTCATTATTGATATTCTGGAAATGAGTATTCTCTATAACTTTTGCAGTATGAATGTTAGTAAAATATATAATTTAAATGCAATAGACTTATTCAACTAAGATATTTTTATTATTCTAAGACGTAGGTATGTTACTTGATTCTTTATTGAGATTCAACTAAATAGAAATGCAATTCTTCAATATTCTGCTCCTTTTAGCTTTTGATATTGAATGTGTCATTTTTATTTTTTGGAACTGTCACTAAATCAGTAAGGATAGATTATTTTGTTTGTTGATTGTTTTCACCCATTTGTTGAAGCAAATCCCCTAAAAAATTAATGCGATTGACTCTTTCTATTTTTTCAATACTATTGTTTTATTTTGTCGTTACTTAGATTACAATAAATTTTAGCTTGATTGTTAGGCTACGCTATTGACTATATCCTGTGGATGATAGTTTTTAACTCGAAACGACGGACTTTTTCTGAATTATGCAGAGACAAAGGATTATTACTAGTTCTAATTTAAGTTTCAATAATTAGTACCTTGATCAGTTGGCCAACATAAGGTTATATCTAAGAATCAAAAGATATCTAATTATACTTCGTATAATTGCATTCTGCCTTAATTTGGAGTTGGATTGTTGCTTTGTTGAGTTGAACATCTGTAATGAGTAGCTGAATGCAACCTTGTTCCTTGAGAACTCTTGGCTCTATTTTAATCAGCTGCATTTTATCTGTTCTCATGCTTATTAGAATGTGGAATGTGACGGATAGCACAGACGTTCATTTTAATTTATTTATATATAAGTAGATGAAATTCATTTTTTTAACTTCTTTTCAATGTTCTCTAACCATTTTTTGTACTTTTGTTGCATTTCCACTTAAAAAAAATGAACTTCCTCTAAATTGGCATCTTTATTGTCTTCCAATATTGTTTGATCAATATTATATTTTGGAACAGAAGTTGTTTAACTAGATGAGGAAGGAGTTGCGACTATCTTCTTTATTGGTTATGTGTGTCTAATTTGCTACTATTCATCATCAGTGCCAAGTTGATATTAAAGTAATTCCATCGCACTCACTCTCTATTTGAAAGCCTGCCTTAAGATTCACATAACATATTCTTACAGAACTTTAAAAATTCGTCTGTCTCCTTATATCATCTCTTGCTCCTGGAGTTATATGACGATAATTCTTCATCCTAAATGAAGGGCTCTTTCGCAACTGTGTTGAATTCATTGATGAATCTGTTGGTTTTGACTATTCATCATCGAAAATTACATTACCTTATCCTCAAAAACATCTAAATTGCATCTATCAAAATTAGTTGGTGTGTGCTAAATCTAAAGAAAACCTACTTTGTAAGAAGGAGTGATTTATGATGAATTGAGATCAGAGTCCAACCTCCTCTTTGGTTAAATTTTAGGTCCCACACTCCCATTTCTCAATTGTACACGATTTATCTAACAATACGGGTTCATTTTAGTCAATCCTGTACTCATTTGTATTAATATATATAAATAATTATATAATTTATTGTCAGATAATTTGATTATCTATCTTCCTCATTGTTCTAGTGTTGCACTCTTATTCAAAAATAATAAGGTTCATCAAATACACCCATGTGTATATTTTATGTTTATTATGTATTGCTTAAAAGTTAGAAATTCAAATCATCATACAGGGATCTTCTATTCCTTCTTAATTTTAATAGGATAACCATGTTGAAAGTGACTTTTAATCCCTCGGGCTGTCAATTTTTTATTCCAAATTTAACTTTGTAAGATTGGATAGAACAAAGCTTGAGAAATTTTAGCAAATAATCTATTTTCATTACAATTCAAAAAAATTATTATAATTCAATATTAATTTATGATATTCAAAATCCTTATATTTGATCAAACCTTAATTTATTCAATACTTCAACTGTTGAAAAATAACCGAGGCTGAATTTTAAATCAGAGGTGATCAATCTCTTCAATCAATAGTTAGAAAAGTAATGTGTTTTTTTATAAAACTAGGCCATCTTGGAAAGAGCTAAAAATGAGAGGAAAACAATAAGTCCATCTTAGTAATTTTTGAGATATTTTGAATTAATTCATTCCAGAATGATCACCATGAAAGCTAAATTTAAAACAGTAAGAAAGTCAAAGAAATAAATTAATTTAATCGCCCACAACTTATTTTAGGAATGAAAATAAAGGACTAGAAGCCAATCAAATAGAGGTCAGAGATTCATCATTCATGGTTTTATTATGAATCTCATATAAAATAAAAAGCCAACTTTGATCATCAAATTTAATATTTGATTAGTGTATTATAATAAGATTTGTTTTTTTTTAATTGAATGAATAACTTTCTTATTAAATAAGAAGATCAACAAGCCTTGTATAATTTACAAATACCCAAATAAATCTCTATGTTCCCAAGTCAATAGTATTTTTTAACAATATTATAGCTCAAATATGATATAATTCCAAAAGGAAACAATGATAATACAAAAATTCTTGAAAGCTTTGCACAACCTACAAGTAGCTTAAAGCGAATTATATAATTCTCCGAAATATCCGTTTGTGATCTAAGTTTAGAATAATCAATTTTTGGTATATCCTATTTCTTAATAGGTTCATTTGGGGAAAACATAATTCGATAGAAATAACATGTTTGAACATATCTATCCTCCTCAGTGCTACTATGTTCCATAGTATGCTTAAGTTATTTCTTAATATCCAAAGCTAAAACTTCACATTCAAAAGAAAAGATAGGTAAGATTAATGTAGGATTAGAAGGACACAAAGAATATTCCAAAGAATTACTGTAAAAGCATAATAACTTTTGCATGTAAGAATCAATAGAACCTTTGCATTCGAATTCTAAAGGATTAAGTGAAAGTTGTGAAATTTATAAATAAGATTTCTTAATATAAGAAATAGTTACTAAACATAAGGGTTTTCAGTGCATTATTATAAAGATCTGAAGATCCCGAAGAGGAAGAGTATAGACAAGCATTCAGAATAATTAGGTATCATAGTGAAAGTATCAGTAGTTAAATTTTTATTAAGAAATAGGCCATAAATTATATATTTAATTCAAAAATTGTTCAATACAATTGGCATATGAAATATAGATAAAAAATATATAAGGGTATCAAGGATCCTAATAGTTTTTCTCACATTAAGAATTTGTGAAGTAATAACCAATGAACTTTTATGGATATTAATATTATCATATACATAAAACCAAATATATTCAAAAGGTGTTCTCTACCTAATCAATACTAGTCTATGACTTTTACTATTAACAAAAAAGGCTGAGGAGAAACCAAAAAAATGTGATTTTAAAGAATATTGAAAATAAACTTATAGTAATAGAATAAGAATTAAGAGTACAGAAGGAATCAAAGGAAGAGAAATAATAGAAGAATTAGTTTTATGACCACTATAAGGAGTAAAACAAATTTATTGACCATTTAATAGACATTATATTGTTTTATTACTAATATTTATTACTTAGCTTAAATACTAATACTCTTAAGTTATGCTGTTCAAAATTGACAAAAGATAAATGTTCAGGTCATTATACAAAATCATTTACACTATATTATAAATTTAATATCATTTTATTGAAATCTAAAATACAGATCTTTAGTATAATAGGCTGAAATATAATCTCTATTTGTTATTTCATTTACAACTTCACCTTGCTTTAGAGTTGAATAAGCCTCACAACTTATTGATACTACAACCCTAATCTTCGCATTTGGCTCTAAATATATAATCCGTAAGTGTTTTTACAATATTTTTGATAAATCCCTACCTTTCTCTCAATATTTCTTACTGTCTAAACACAATAAAGGACTTCATAATAAGCTTGATAATATTTAATCGATGATGCCCTATGTACTTTAGAGAAATACTATTTTTTTGATATTTAAGTTTAAGAAGAATTTCAAAAAAAATAGAAATTTCATAAAAGTTATTCATAAACTCTAGGAAAGGATATATAAACAATCAAAAATGAATAATTAACTCAATTTAGGAGAAATTTAATCAATTTCTTAACTATTGAAATGAGATATGTTTTTTTCGACTTTTAATAATCATCATTTTGGCTCAATATGCAGGAGCAGAAGCCTCGATCAAATTAATTAAGGAAAAGATTGCAATTCAAATAATGCTAATGTTATAGCTGATCCATATGCGAGCCATTATTATAATATCAAAGTTATATTTGGGATAATATTTTATTCTCAATATCATCAAACATTTGAATAGGAATACTAATTATTAATTAACAATTGTTATTGTAAGAATAACTTATAAATGGTTTAATAATTAATGAACATGAAATCAAGTTAAAAAAAAATTTGACTTTAATTTTTGGCAATTAAGCATACCAAATTTTAATTATAAATTTACAAATTTGTAGAGATTCTAATCGTATTAAATAAATCGAAGCTAAATTCTTAATAAACCAATTAACCAATAAAACATTTAAATGAGCAATGACACAAAAATTTTATTTAATTGTTGTAGAATTTAGAATTGGAGCCTAGAAGAGTAGGAATACTTAATAGGACAAATAGAATAAAAATTTCCAATTAATCTCTTTTATCAATGAAAGGGAGCAATAATTTGAGAGTTCTTTTATGAAATTTGGAACTCAGATGGGAATATTTTGCTGAAGCAGATAACAAGTAAATAATAAATTAGAAGAGAGCATTAAATATAAAAGAATAGTAAAACAATATTAAGAATAACTTGAGTCATTTTATTGATGGTGATTGAAAAGTTTAATTTATCCATGCTATCAATGGAAGAGGATTTTATTAGCAACTATAACTATTAAATATTTGGATTAGGCTAACTTGTAATGAAAATTAATTAGTTTGATATGTTTATTAACCTAAATGATTGGCAAATAAGTAAAAATAATAAATTAATTTTTTTAGAATATATACTTAAAATATAAGAACAATTGATTTAGTATAAAACACGATGAATTTTAGAGTTGTTTTCAATTATTCATTTAGTGATATATGCTTACGTCATTCTTATTTAAAGAAATTTTAAAAAGATGTGAAAAAATACTCTAAATATATTATTAATTAATGGGATTATGTGAAAGTAAGGAGACAGAGCATATGAGTTCACGTAGAATTGATAGTTTCATTAAATCTTCTCATTCTTATAATAATTTAATAAGTTAAGATACACATCAAGGAGGCAGTCTTCCTTATAAATATGAGACTGTGATAATACAGGAGAATTTGAAAACAATCGCCGAAGAGAGTATTATACAATAAGAACGATAAATTCAATACTAGTCTACAGCGCCATCTCCATAAGCTTCAATAGATATGAAGCAGGTGTCTCAGTAGAGTCCATTAATGCTACAAAATCCATCTGGAACTTGGAATTTATAAACACACGCTATAAAACATGGCGGATTGTATGAGGTATCAGTGGGGAAGGATTGCATTGGAATGTATGAGGAATGGGAATTCATTTTGAATAAAGATGGTCCAATAAACAATTCGGATAGATTTGTGGTAATTCAAAATCCATATAAATCTCTAGTTACGTCATATATTGACTTAGACTTTGTTGGTAGCTGAAGAGGCTTTGTAAGGAGAGCATAAGGTGGGTTCTATAGCAAGCAAGACAATGAGAGACGAAGCCATGTGGTAGATAGAAATAGGGACAGATATTCTATATGAGAATACTTTTGTTAGTAAATTAATTATGCTATGGTAGAATTACGTCATGGAAAGTCTAAGTTATATTTATCTAGAACAAATGAAAATGGTTCGATGGAGAATCATCGTAAAGTGGCACTTACTAATTTTGATCCAATTAATAGTTTTTGGTTAGTCAAATTAAAATGATACTTAAAAATCACTTAAATTATAACAAAATCTCTTCAACTTAATCAATATATTGTTGGATACTAAGAATAGATTTTTTCTGTTCTTCAATTTTGTTTTGAAGAATTTGGATTTGTTTAGCAGTGATTTTCTCAGCTTCAGAGAAATTCAATTCAACAAAGACATTCATTCCCACATCAAGTGTAATCATTTATGGATTTACTCTATTCATTAGACTAGTGTTTGTTACAATTCAACATCTAGGAATGTATTGGCACCTACATTCATTTTCATTTGTGATTAGCCTGAATTGTTTTTAATGTATTCTATGACTAGCTGGTAATCTTCTTATTTGTGTTCTAATTATTGGAGTTTCTACAAGGCTTTTTCCATGTCAACTCTGAGTTTTTTGTGGAAAGTCTAATATTTTGCAATTTGTTCTTCATCTAATTATACAAATTCACTCATTTAAAATTAAAATAAAATGTCTGATATATTGGATGATGAATAAGCATATTTGAAGAGATGGTATAAGTTTGCTAAAATTCACAAAACAATTCCACCTCCTAAGAAAGATACTCATCTAGAATCTCTCTGTTATAGAATCAAAATCAGAGATGTCTGTAACATTCCAACCAAAAAGGAAGTATAGCAATCAATAAGAATACTCTTAAATTTATACAACTCAACCACAAAGGAGTTTTTTGGTAGAACCTACGAATCTCCATTTCTGGAACTGATCTACTCTCAAGCAAATTAATAATTGGAACATCCAGAGGTTTTCTGTTATTTTCATTTGCGTCAAATTGAATCAATATAAGTTGCTGTTGAGATCGTCTTATTTGGTAATATTAATCTAAACATTTAGAGAAAAAGGATTAAGTTATATAAAATAGATAGATAGTTGGTTGGTGTTTGGGAGATATTGGTCAAGAACTGAAATACACTCTAAAACGAGGATCATCTAGATTCTTAATCAGCAACCAAACTAATTTGGAAACAGTTGGACAGACAGTCTGGGTGGAAGTCGTTGAGAACAAGGAATTTACTTAAATTAAGAATCTGATTCCCGAGGGTTGTCTCTGTGGATATGGAGATGAAGTCTTAGGTGTTCATGGATATCAAATAATCTAATAATTGGCTTTAACCTAGGAATAAATTGCATATGTCACCTCCATTGAAATATTGGTTCCCACTTCAGTTGATCTTCTGATATCAGAGTACCTCAAGAAGTATAAGGAAGTCAAGTATAAAGATGATGGACCAAATGAAGTCCATTTTCTGGCTAAGAGATTGGTATTTACATTTCACAATGGATGGAATTACACAAATACTAGAGGATTAAATAACTTTATTACTTTGGAAGAATCCTCATTCTAGAAAAGTATTGATAACTAGAAGATTGATTATAAAAAGCTCACTTTCAAGGGTGCTCTAGACGTAAATGGAATATATTAAGAACCTAAATTGGGAGTCTTTATCATCCAATTAGAATATGATGTTGAATTTATGGTCACAAATCTTGGTAAATAAAGAACCACTGTATTGTGTGGTTGGTTGCCACTAGTACCCAAATCTACTTTTGAGGAGGAATTCATAATTGGACCAGGAAGATCTCTTAGTAACTAAGTGTTAGTCGATCTTAGTGATATTAAATACCCAATCACAATCTCTGGGAAGATAAACTTTGGATCCATTCAAACTCAAAACCTACCTGGACCCATTATTAATAAATAGGTTTATTAACCTATGGATGCTCCGAGTTTAGTCAAATTACCGGAATAAGGTGGTGGTGGCTAATAATTAGGGATGGATGATGACTAAAGGAAAATAAAACAGTTAGAAAATACTTTAAAATGTATACAATTATTATTTCACATTTATAGAACTTTAATAAGATAGACAAGTGAGTGCAACCAATCTGGCTATGGATTTTGAGAATAAACTAAAAATTGATAAATAAAGAGAGTAAGAATATTAGAAGATGGTAGAAACTATTAAGAAATAACATGAAGAGGAAATTTAAAAGATTTTAGAATAATATGAAGATCTGAAGAAGATGATGACAGATATTAATCAAACTCAATAATAATATTTAACAAAAGCATAACCAACTTCAGCATCTTTATTAGGTCAGTAGTAGGTTTTGTAAGATTAAAAGGAATTAGAAAAATGGAGAATTATAGAATCTATGACATCAGTTCCTAGAAAAACATTTTACAAAACTCAATAGCAGGATTTAATGGTTGAAGCCTAATTTGGAGGCTAAGCATTATCTAGAGGAGACATAGCATTCCTCAGTTAGAATGGAGTGAGAGAATTGTTTATTCAACATACAGATTATGTTGAAAATGATGAAATTAAATAAAAATCACTTCAATATGAATTGGCTGATCATAGATAGGCTATCACCGTTTTCATTTAATTACTGTCATTTAAACCTAGAATCACAATGAAATCTAAAGATCTTGAACCAACAGTCTATCACTATTCAGAAGAGTCGAGAATTCCAAGTAGATTATTTATGATAGTCAACTTTTATGATTTCCCTGAATATGTTACAGAACCATTAATTTATGAGAATGGATTTGATAGATCTTCTTATACAAGATGTTTGGAACAATCAATACCTTTTCTTTTGATCAGAGAATAATTTCTTAAAACAGGAGCATCATATAAAGAACCTGTATTTAAATTTGAAGTTGAACCTTCTTCAATCGGATATCCCAAAGCCTATAAGTATTTTTGTGAGTATTTGTTTAACAAATGCATAACAATTGAAATTTGGGATTATGATTCCATGATGATTTTTGGAACCATAAGGCTTCCCTTAAGATAATTATTAAGATAAGGCTAAGATGCATCAGTTGTCATGAGGAAAGCTGATATCATTGATAAAGAGTTTAAGAAAATCAAGGGAGAGTTACAAGTCTTGATTAAGTGTGTTGGTAAAGAGGATAGAGTAACTGAAGTTTTGGATAATAATAGTCAGATGAAGAGAAAAGTAATATCCACCAAAAAGGTTGAGCCTTTGCATATTTTAGAGGATGAGGAGAAGGAAATAATTAAGTAGGACCCTAATGAAAGAATCAAAGAGAGAATCAAAAGAATAAGAAGATAAGAAGTTCCCAATGGTACAAATAATAATAGTACTAAAACACTTATGGAAATAACCAAGAGGAAGGATTTGTCTAAGAATGCCTTTGTTCATTCTGTTATCTAAAGTCATCTGAGTGATGAAAAGGTGATACACCCTTTCTTTGGGAGGGTCGAAATAGTTGAACTTGAATTCAGAAATCCTTATGCAACCGGATAAAACTTTGTAATCTGCATAGATGATTAAGAAGTTAAATGTTCTGGTATTTAAGAAATTCATCTTATTCATCAACCAGTGGAATGGAAGTACTATGTAGATTTGTACAATCATTCAAAACCTTAGGAATTCAATATGATATAAGCCAATCAAAATAACTTTACAATGTTTCTAACTGCTAAAGAAAAAGTGGTCCTTCTGTTTAAATATTAGACCTTTAGAGAAGTTAATCAAGAATATACTGAATTATAAAAGACTGAAGAACTCTTTACCATTAAAGGCAAACAATTTCTCACTTAATACAGTTATCCAAGACAAGTTGCTGTGTTTATCAATACAATCGAAGGATAATGTGTTGGAGGAATGAGAGTCAAGATATTTCCTCATAGTAATACAATTGATCATGTATACAGATTTTATGAAAGAGATAATCGATAAGTATCTATTCAATTTCCCGCATTATATGGATACACAGTGCCAGCACCAGATAAGAAGCCTATTTTATTTTGTAATAATGAATAACTCGTGGTTGAATGGGCTAATGATTTTGAAATCAGAATTAGTTTACGAATGCCAGAAGTCAATAAATAGTCGGTCTTCTACATCCTGGCATATTAAGACACTTATTTCAAAGAATTAATAGCTAATTGGCAAATAAAACTCACAAGTTTGGCTGGGTATTACATTTATTTATTAATGTTAGAATTGGGATTGAAGTACCTTTAGGTTAAGTGTAAAATACAAAGTTAACTGTTCACGTTGAGATTTCAAGATAGGTGAAATTTTACTCATCTCATCCGATATGTGTTTGGTTCCCATAACCCTACGATTAGTTAGTCAATTTGATTCCAGGGAAAATCAATATTGCTAATCTATGCGTGAGATTATTCACTGAGTAGATTCATAAGGTAATGGTGACTTGTGTAGATGAATAATCCCATGAACTAGTCAGAGGATGGATTTTAAATATCTCACCTACTGTTCCTCCTATTAGTTAAGTGTTTGATATTCAGGCTCCCAGAGATCAGATGAAGACTTACATTGTTAAATATGCTAATAAATAAAACAATGAAGTCCTTTTAATTTTTAAATCATCCAATACACAAATATTAAAAGTAAAAATATACTTAGGTTATAGCTTGTTGAGACTAGATATTTATTCAAGGCTTAATAGATATAAGATATAACATTGTAAATTCATAGAGTTGGTGAAATGGACAAAGCAGAAGTTAAAGTGTTTATTGGTGATGAAGATAGATCAAGAGATACATTTGATTGTTTGTTATTCAGAATCGCCTATATTTGATTATAGAAATTTATTATCCAAAAATTAGTATCTAAATATATTATATTGCTTAATATAACATATAATTAGGTTTTTATTGAAGAAATTTTATATTTCAAAATGATTATTCTTTTTCAATTATTTAAATCAATATAACTGTAACTTTCTTCTTCTTAAAACATTTTAATTTAGATTATATTATAGAGCATTTAAATATACTATCCAAGATATATAACAACTGTACTAATAACATATGCTCATAAATTCTTGTCCTTAAATATGTCAATTATTAATTCTATTTTCTCAATTAATTGTATTAAGAATGAATACTATATATATATATACATATTTAAGAGAGTATCACTTTATTTTTATAATTCAGTGGATTATAATGGGGTGAGAAGATTTTGTCATCAGTGTGAGTGACAACTTCTTTGGAATATTAGTATTTGTACTTGATGTACTACTTTCTTTAGATAATTAATTATTTTTAATTGATATCAGAGATCATCATATCTACGAATAACTTCATATCCTTCCATTACAGCGTTGATGTATCTTTCATATTTCTTGAGCATGTCCTCATATAATTTCTAGTTTTCCAATCGTTATTCTTTGGATTATAATTTTTATTGTATATAGTTAGTATCATCATCAAGTAGGGCAGTTCTCATTTGTAAATCCTTAACTTCAAGTATGATATCCATGGACTTTTCCATGCAATCACTCAGGCGTTTCTTACAATTTCTGATTTCCTCGTACTCTTCAAATGAAATGGGGGGTTTATTTTTGATTGGTTAAGTAGGTGAAAGTCGATTGCAAATTTGTAGTACATGGCAAAGGAGCACTCCTTCTTCGTCACGTTAGTTGAAGAGTTGAACTATGTGCATTCTATAATGTGGAACATCAAGACAGGTGGTAGTGCTGCAAACGATGTAGGAGACTTTGGGACAATGTTTTGGGAGTGGGGTTTAAAAATTCATTTTTTTCCATTTGAACACTTTTTTTGAATTATCTTTTAGCCTTGGAAATCCTAAATTCCTTAGGGATGCTTTTCTTAAAAAATAAAGGTAACCATCTATAAAAAATGGATTTAAATTTGATTTACTTTTGGGTTCATAATAAATGTCTTCTGGATGTTCATCAAACATAGGGATAGAATGATCTCTTCCATTCATCAATAAATCTTCATATTCATCACCTAACATAGACATCTTGTATAAAAGGTACCATTCAGCCAACGATAGTGATAAGGGGGTAATGCATACTAGGTACTATCCATAATTAATTAAATGATTAAACACATTATAATTATCTTACTTCATCCATTCTTTACTTCAATTTTCGAAAATTAATTTATTATAATTAAATGAATATTAAGAAGTAGTTTATATATTTTTAAGATAATTTTGGTCCAAATAATATATATTTATCAATGATTCACTTATGTGGTATAGATGCGATAGACATCATCAAAGGTGTTCACTTCTTCTTGCTTCAACTTTCTTTGTTCTTCGTAGAATTGTTTTGCAGCATCGATATCCTTTATTTAATGCATACACTTACTTTCAAAGCAACCTAGTGAGCAACTGTAATCTATTTTAATCTAGCTCCACATAAAATGGAAGCTTGTCTTCTGCCAGTTAATTAGTTCACTTATTTAACCTATATTGATAATAACTAAATAGAATACCAAATAATCTTTTTCATATTAGATAGTTTTGTCAAAGAATTGATTTTCCAATTCAATATGTAATTTGAAATCAATGAATCCTAAATTAGATCTCACTTCATCATTGGCTCCAGTCTCTAAAGATTTTTTGGTGTGATTTTCAATAGCATCCAACAATTTTCTGAATCCCTAAAGTATTTATTAATCATAAATACCTCCCAATTGTCTGCAAATTCTTCTTCTCCAGGTGGAACAACAGCTCCAGTTCCATGAGGATCCTTGGTAGGAACAGCTTTATTGGGTTGTTCATCTACATGATGATCTGGTTATTTATCATCAATAACAATTTCTGGGTGATCTTCATCACTGGTATTATCATCTGGGTGAGTAGTATCATCAGTATTTTTAGTATCTTCAGAATTACCAGAATTATTAATATCACCAGAATCACCACCATCATGATTATCACCAGAATCACTAGAATCACCAGAGTCACCAGAATCACCTGAATTGGTATGTTCTTCATGTTGATGTGTTTCTTCCCTCTTTGTAACTGGATCCTTGTGAAGTTGTTGAGAACCTGAACCTGAACCAGAACCAGAACCTGATTTACCACCACTTGGTTTTGTACTTACTCCACCTCCATTTGTAATTTTAACATTAAGATCTCCAGAATCAGTTGTGCCATCATCATTTTAAACAACAACAACTGTTCCAATTTAATTATCACATCCTGGAATAAGAACAACTGCATTGTTTGCCTTATCATCATCATCAGCAGCTTAGTCCAATTAGGTCAATGCCTTTGGTCTGATTCTTTGGATGAGTGAAATTTCATCAAAAGTGCCTTATTCAATCTCAGGAACAATGAGATCTGATTTATCATCAATCTTCTCCATTAAATTGACTAATTAACCACTACGATATAGCTTAACGAACTTGCTAACTCTATCGTGGAATTATGTCACTTAGGCTAAGGATGATGCTCCTCCTTCCAATTATGTTAGTTCTTCTCTCAAAAACTTCACTAAAGCCAATGCATACCTGAAATTTCTTATGTCATTCACATAGTTGTTGGTTAATGCACATCTTCATATTTAGAATACTCTTACATGCTTGCTTCCAACACTCCAATTTTCTTTGTATTCGAAATTTATCTTCCACTCATCCAATTAATGAAACTCTCACTAGCCAATATATCATTCTGCTTCTAAGCTATGTCATCTTCTTTGTTTTGGCATTCAGCTCTTTAATTTAAAACAGATTGATTAAGAGAATCAGCAACACTCTATTTCTCAGCAATCCTTCTTTGCCAAGCCAGCTCTAATCCCTCCAATTCTAATTCAGCATTGTGCTTTAACTCAGCCAATAATTGTAGGACATTTTCCTCACTTGATGTACCCAGTGCCACAGCTAGCACCAAAGCCAATAACACATACTTCATTTAATTAATTTATACAAAAACGGATTAGAACTTCCCTTACTTTAATAGATTTTTTGCTTAACTCACTACTCTGGATTATTTTAGTAATTAATGAACAACGAAATCAATATCAGATAACTGCTTTACTACAAAAAAATTATTCGTAATAAACCAACTTTATTATACATAGCTCATACTCAATCCCAACGCAGTATTACCCTCATGTCCCATTAGTTTAGTCAAGGTCGACTCTCTGTCCATTCCTAAGAAGATTTAAGATTATCCACTAATGTGACCAATTCCAGCATCCTCCCTCAAATCAATCTCCGCTACAGCAGTGTCCATTCTTAAGAGTCTATCAAATCTCATCACACTGCACCTACTCCCTTTACTTAGATACAAGTACCCTCCACTAATCAAATAGTGTTTTATCAATAAAAGCCAAAAAACTATTTCTGAACTCAGGCTCCAGACCCAATAAATAAAGCAAGAAATTTCAATTATTTTGGAATAACATGAATAGCAAATTTAAGAGCTCCAATCATAATTAATCTCAGGAATTCAAATCAAGTATAAATAATTAAAGGATGATAATATCAACACTATTATGGAGTCTTATCGTCTGAAGAAGGAAGTTGTGCGCTTAATTAAATCTAAATCATAGCTGCTAGAAGATGTAGATGTACTCAACAAAAGAATTACAGAACTTGAGTCAATATTATAATCCTTCAAACTTGATTTAAAATGAATTAATATTTATATGATAAATTTGTAAATAAGTTTTTGGGATGTAAGCAAGACTTCTTTGGGACATCTCTCATCTTAATTGGACAAGATGGATCAACTCACTCAGTCTTCTAACCAGCTTATGCATACTTTTGAAACTGCACAAAAAATTTACTTAAATTCATGCAAAAAATTAGTCAACATTTCCAAGGACGGCTTGATAGAGTAAAGTCAAGTATACTATAAAATGAAATACCTTAATAGAATTTTATTGACAAAAGATAGCAATACTAGTCTGATTTATAAGAAACCTCTATATCTATTAGGAACACATACGATCTAATTGAACTAGATAAATGCTATTTCTCCATCAATTTAGCACATGGATTATACACAAGGTCCACTTTCCCTTACATGCCTAATTCTATCAATAAGTTTTGTTAAAAGTCCAAAAACTCATCCAAACACATATATGTAGCACTATTGAGATATGAACAACCAAAAGAACACGAGATAACTGTTACTAATTAATAAGTCATTATCTTTAACAACATCTATAGTGTTACATTGGATTATTTTCAAGGTGTGTTTTACCTAGCATCATTCACCCCTAAATAAGCATAAATTGTATCTAAAATTTAACCTTCATTACTGTAATCTTACTGTTAAAAATTTGCAGTATAATTGCCAGAAATATAAAAATAAGAGGTCTTTTTGAATTATTTGTGCTACTTTTTTAATAACGCCATTAAATTTGCATAAGCTCAAATTGCATTTCATTCATTAAGAACACAAGGAAAAACTATACCAATTTTATAAAATTATGATTCACTATCAGAAGTATAATTATTTGTTAAAATAGTTCGAAAACTAAATAGAAACTTATGTCACCTATAAAAATGTCAAAAAATGCGCTTTTAGTGAAATCATGATTAAGAGCAACGATAATTATTATATCTAATTATCTGGATAAACTAGATCGCTGGAAAATGTTGAAATTTACTGGAATATTAATGATAATTTAGAATAAAAATTAAATAACTACCATTTATTGGATCAATAGAAATACAAATTAGGCTCAATACTTAAATAATAAAACAGTTCTTACCCTATATATTTTAAATTAAATTGTTAATTGGATAATTATCATAATGAAGATCCTTCAATAGATGAGACTTTCAAAATAACAAAATGTCACAATTATTTCAAAATGAATCAATTCATAATTGCCTAAGATGAGGCTTTGTCTTCAATAGATATATGGTACGAAGTTGAATCATAACTCCTCAAATTACCAATCACGTACGAAGATGAGGCAATCTTAGAAAAGATTTTCCAAAGTAATGAAGAACCATGGGAATATTTAAAATGGATAATTGTCAGAACAAGTGCACTCAAAATTAAAAGATCCATTGCTTAAATAAAATTAGAAAATAAAACTATCAAATTTATCTAGAATTTCAGGAGAGATGACAAAAAAAATATTTCAATTTTAAATCAGGATGGATTTAAATGCCAAGATGAATTAATACCACTTTAAAACCTCCTTCCCTCATTTAATCAAATCGACTTTAATTCAATTAAAAAGGTCATTGAGGATAAACTAATTGATGCTAAATTCTCTTAAATTTCAGAAAAGTATAATAATCAGTTATGAGTATATATATATTATAAATAAATATCATGATTTTATTAAGAACGATTAGCTTATACCAGATAAATTAGTAGAAACATTATTATCTCTAATTAAGTCATTAGTAATTCTAATAAATAACATTTTGTGTATTTATAATTAAGAATTATTCTGAAATTAACTTTATACATAATTTCAGGTGATATTAAATTTCTATCTCTATTATGCTATTTTATCTGTTCTTAGTGTAAATTACATACTGATGACATGAAATCATCTATTCTTTTGAATTAGTATTGATAATTATATATTAAATTTTATATTTATCAACAACATGTTTTATCCTTCTTTTCTGGTTCTGATTTTAAAGTTGAAGGTGTATTTGTTATTTATTTTGGATTTTGAAAAAATGGTCCTAATTTAATTCCATAAACCTTTTACCAAGAACATTCTTACTTCCTGTGTATAATCAATTGTCTTATTATCAATTTTTACTAATATTCTTTGAGCTATGTCTTCAAATACTTTATCAATATTCTATCCAGTTTTGGCAGATGTCTCTAAATAATTCATTTTATTTGATTGAGCATATTCAAGGGCCTCTTTTGAAGAAACTTGACGTCTTTATAGAACATTATATTTTGTACTCTGATTCTAAATCTAATTTATTTCCAACTAAACTAATCTCTACGAATTCATGTGTGCAATCTAATATTTCATTATGCCATTTCATAACATTATAATAGGTGTCCTTCTTTGTTAAATCAAATACTAAGACTACTCCAATTGACCTAATTTACTTCACTCATACCCTTTATAATAAGACCTTGTGATCGATCTAAAACTCTCTTATCCAGCCTTTTAATCATATTAACAAAAATACAGTGTCCCAAATTTAAATCTTAATTGTCCTGTCATTCATCTTTAACAATTAACTTCCAAACTCAACACCTATTGTAGTTTCATGGTCTTCATTAAACTTCTTCTCTGTGTAATTTAACAATATGCATGATTTCCCAACGCTAGTGTCACCGACAATAATGTATTTGAATAAAAAGTGATATTGATCCATCAAATGAATTATAATTAATTTTATAGTTATACCATTTCCATATATAAGAACTATTTGATATGTTCGGTATTAATAATATTAATCCATTTTAAAAACAAATTACTCATTATTATAATTTGCTGTATTTGTTATTTAAATATGCATTAGGAAAAGACCTTCAAATTCCTAATTTATTAAAGGTGCAATTATAAGCACTGGATTTTTGAAATCAATTAGAAATTAAAGATATCGGGGTTGTAAAATCACTAGGAGCCCAATTGATTGAATACTAAAAAAGAAAGTTATTAAACTAGAAAAATTTCTTATATATTCTGCAATTATTTAATATATTCAAAAGAAAAGGATGCTATTATTAGGAATAATATTACTATTAGATTATAAAGTATTTGATTCAAAAGTAAAATCTACAATATTAATGAGAATTCAGATATGAATGCATTATTCAAATTTCTAAAGCTTGTCAATCTTATAAGTTTGATTATTATTAATTGTAGACAAAGCTTAATTTATAATTATAACTTAGGAATCATGTAATCTTTACTATTTGATATGAAAATTGACTATCCTCAAAATATTTATGATCTTATTTGGAAGACAAATAAAACATCTCAATTTAAATAGATTGAAAGTGTTTGAGAACCTAGGTATACAGAATTTTAGTTTTTGTTGATTTTCTTTATAAGCCTGATTAGTTGTTATTGGCAATGACATGATAGAAAATTTGTTTTATAGAACTCATCATAAAATATGTATCTAGAAATTTTAATTAAAATCTAAATAATAAACAAAAATAATATTAAAAATTAACAATAATAAATAATTTGATATTTTTGGTTATTATTTTTATGTCTTCATAATCCTAACTGTTAACGTAACCATCCAAAATTGTGTTCAATTAGTTAGATTATTTAATTAACAACTTCAATTTCTTTTGAGATATGTTATGATTGTTGTTTAGTTTATTAAAAAATATTATTACACTCTTGCTTGATATCTTTAACTTATTCTTGTTTTAACTAATATAAATTGATGAGTACATTAATTCTATGAATGATCTCATTATATTCTAATTCTAATTATTTCACAACATGTTCAGTTTCATCTATGTTCTATTGGATTTCATTCAAAAAATTGATAACATTATCTAATTATGATTAATATAATGAAATTAAATTTTTGGTTTATTGCTGTTTTTCATCGTAATACTTATCTTCTAATGACATCATATCTGTAGTGAAATCAATCAAATCATTTAACAACGGTTTTAAGCTGTATTAATCAATTTTGAGAGACAACGGATTTCTACACTTAAGAATATCATAAATATTACTTTTGATTCACATAATCATATCTCCTTTCTTGTTATTAAATTGTTAATTTATGATATTATTCTTTTTGTAAATTCTCTCTATTTTGGCAAATCTCTATATTTTTTATTAATAATTCCTTTTCTTTAATTTTGGTTGTCATCATGCGTTGATACTACTCAATGTGAGGCTTATGCGCATAAATGTCTTCCCTTACATCATACTATTTATTATTTTCAAATCTACTTTATTCTCATTTAGTTTTGCAATTAACTCCTCTATTGATTCAACATTTAGTATACACTCATCTAATTTCGATTTTTAAAGTTTGTTCATATTACTTCTTTATTTTACTAGTTTTTCTGAAGATTTATATCAATTATTATTACCATGAATTCCATTCAATAATTACAATAAATCTCCTGTGGGTTCATCAGCTTAAATATGTAGTTACACAGTTTCTAATAATGTTGATCCCAATTCGGTTTCTCGTAGCTAATCCAATTGCGCATATATAACTGATACAAGTATCAAAATTATCATCGCTCGAAAAACGATATTTAAAATAATCTAATTGATATTTAACTTTATAATATAATCCTCAACTATTTATCTTATGTATTTTATAACTTCAATATTTATATAAACAGTATAATAAATTTACTATTACTCATCCTAGTAACGATTTCTTAAGATGTTTAAATTTAAATGCATAATTTGATAGCAAAAATTAGGTTTATATTACAACTTGTCTCTGCTGTTAAGGATATTCCATCATATTCTTAAGTATTTCTAAATTCCTTGTTCTATGCTCAAGTTAAAGTGCATTAATTTATACTTTTAAGGTACTGTTTATTATCTTACAAATTTATCTGACTACTATATTAAAAATAGAGACCTAATATATTTTAATTATTCTTAAATAGAATTCTTTGAAGAATTATTTAATTTTATATAATAAACTATGCCAAATTGTCCATATTATACTATTAAAATACTATTTTATCCCCTCCTTGTAAATAAATTAATTGTTAGATGAAAGATAAAAATCCAAATTTTGATATCATTTGTCAAAATGAGTAAAATTATAAGAAGATTGCTAAAATTTAGTCTAACTTATTAATGATGTTAAAATGTCAATTTATATTATACTCTTTAAACTATACATACGCCAGAGGTCATTTGAAGATGATAAATAGATGTTATATTGAAATGAGGGAGCCATATTATATCCGAATATAGTTCATAGACGAAGGGGACTATTAAGAATCAACCAATCTTGATGATTTATAGAGAAGAATATCGTATCCTCTTCAAAATCCTTCTAATTGTATAGTTGGTATTTAAGAATATTAAAATAGTTTTATTGTATGTATTAATTTATTATATTAATATAAATGTATATTTATAAAACTCTCCAATTGGCATATTAATATGAAAACTTTTCTGATTTTATTCAATATTACATAACTATCCTCTTATAAAATGGGCCCAATATGTGATTGATAGGAATCTGAGTCAAAAATTCGAAAGAAATTTTATGAATTCTTTATATGGTAATTCTTCAAGTAGATTTGATGTATAATCTACATCTCATTGATGCTTCTTTTAATGTAATTCAGAATAAAATATTGAATCAGCAATTGTTTTTATTTCAAATACTAAATAAGATGTTCATTACTATTTTTATCAGAATAATAATGAAAAAAAATATTGAATTATTATCTGTTGATCACAATGATTAGTATTAGTTGACTTGTTGGGAAATTTTATAGCAGAAATTCTAAACCTATTAATTTTCTTAAAATCTCATATATGCTTAAAAATTATCAATTCAGCAATTACCCAAATTTGTATATTTAAGGTTAGTTTCAGGCCAGAAGTCCTTGGGTAAACTGCATTTTCTATAAAATCGATAGTTTTGACACTTTTTGAAATGTGGTTTATATTAGGACTTAAATACTGATTCAATTTTATGATGTGCATATTAAGCTTTCTATTTAAAATATTTTAGCTTTACTTTTTGGTTAACATGAGTCATTTAAGAATTTCAAAAGCGCTTTATTATTTTGGTCAGACTTATTGTTTTTTTTGAATACTTCATTTGTAAAGAAAAATATTTTCAATAATTGCTTGATAATATAGGTAGAATAAGGTGATATGGAAGAATTGTTATTAGACTTGAATTGCATAAAATACATATATTTTGAAATAAAAGCATTTCTAAAACCATGTTTATGTTTTGATTTTAAAATAATTGTTTTTTTACTCAAAAATAAATATAATAAAAATATAGATAATTATTTTATTGGTGTATTAGTTTTTACGTTTCAAATTAAATTTATTTAAAACTGTATATAATGTTAAATATATTAAGAAAGAACTCAAACATATTTCATACAGTTCCCAATTATTGAGGTGAAAGTTAAGAACAAATTTTAAATCTTCTATTTGGCTTCAGGAAATAGAACACTATTGTCAATAAGAGCAGTCATTCTTTATTCCTCAGGCCAGATTTTAATAATTTTTCTTCCCATCACTCTTTTCTCTTTATCTCTAATGGCAAGCTCTTCTTCAATTTCTTTTGGCACTATGGAAGCCTCCGAATCTTTGAGGCTCTTATAATACCGATTTTTGAGCATGTTCATCGTTTTCCCTGGGAAGTATTTAGTGATTTTTTAAAATTTAGGACCCAATTTCTTCACCAATAATAAAAGGATTCTGTCCTCCTCTGGTGAAAAGATTGAGTTTGAGGTTTTAACTTTAGAATCCAGATAATTTCTTTGCTTTTCTTTTATGTATTTATATAGTGCACTGCTTCTATCCTTATCACCATAGAGAATTGGCTTTCTTCTTTATCTAGATTTCTTAGGTTTAAATCTAGGTAAATTTGAGATAGTTTCTGAACTTTGAGCAACCTGTGTGTTTAGTTAGAGTGATTCTGATTATATTTAGCAATCATCGATGAAAGAAGAATCATCTTGATGTTGTTAAAAGCAAATCATTTAATTTAATTATTAAAACAAAGAGGAAATATCTTAATTTATATAGTACTAATTAATACTTCATGCTTTAAATTTTATGAAACAGTCAAATTTTACAATTTCTTTTCTCAAGTTTGAAGTCTCTTTTAAGAAATACCAATAATATATTTAAAATTGCTCGGGCCATTCATTTAATATATTTTTAATAGTGTTAAGATTTTTTTTCTGGAAAACAACCTTCTAGTGCTCTAGTTTCGGTTCTATTAAATAAACAAAATGATCTTGGATTATGGTGTTTGGTGTTTAAATCCCACTAAAATTAAACTATATTTTGATGATTTTGAATCATAGTAATAAATCGATATATATAAAATTTATTTAGAATTTTTTAAGAAACATTCAATAGAGTTAATAGAACATTCAAAATTAAGGAAGGATTCATAACTTATTTTCAAACAATAAAATGATTTTTATTATTTGAAAAAAACGAAACATTAGAAAAACTGATAAAGAAAACAAAAAAGTATTAATTTTTTATAATCCGATAAAATCCAGAACATATTGATTAAAGACAATAATTAAAAAATTATCAAATAAGAATAAATTATAATTGATGAGAATATTATAAAAACACTGTCATAAATTTATACTTGCATATTATTTTATTTAAATAAATTGTAGCGTTTAATTTATTTTTTAACAGATAATATATAAAGTTATTAAATGATCATGTAATTAATTTATTTTAATTATCTACAAGAATCGTGTTGAAGAGGCGAGTTCTTTGATAGACTTGGATCAGTCAGAACTTAATTTAAACTAATTATAATTATAGAGTACATAAAAACAATTATTACAATAATGATTGAAACTATGTTCATTAAGTCTAATTATTAAATTACGTATCTTTTCAGAATTTAACAGACTTTTAATAGAGTTTCTACTTAAATTAATCGGTTATTTTATACTGTTAATAAAGTTTATAAAAATATGTTTATCGAATCATTTTCATTTTTTGCACGTGCTAACCAACTCTTAAAATGAAGAAAGAAATGTATGCAGTATTTCTTTGGCTTCAGGAAATAGGGGGCTACCTTCAATCACCGAGCTCATTTATTTATGTTAAGGCCATAAGTTAAGTATTTTACTGCCAATTACTCTTGATTCATTTTTGTTTGAAAGTAACTCTTCCTCAAGTTCTTTTGGAATTTCTTGAGCCTCAACATGACGAAGTGTCTTATAATACCTGTTTTTAATCATGTTAACAGTTTTTCCTGAAAAGTACCTTGTGATTTTATGAAATTTGGGCCCTAACTTTTTTACAAGCAAGATTAGAATTCTGTCCTCTTCTGCTGAAAATTGAGAAACTTAACTTCTTGGTCTATAGTCTAGCAATGCTTTTTGCTTTTCCTTTAGATATTTATAAATTGCACTGCTTCTATCTTTCTATCCGTACTCAATTGTTTTTTTTCTTTATCTAAACTGTTTTGATTTAAAAATTCCTTCATTTTAAAAAGAAGTTTCCTGAAGATGTTACTTCATTTAATAAGGACTTTCTTTTTAGTTAGAAGGTTAGCTTAAGCTCGGCAAAAGGAAACATTCTGGAATCATTATTTTTTATTTATTTTAATCCATTACTTCAAGAACAATAAAAGCAATAACAATTAGATACGAAATCTTTAAAATTTATTTTTAAATTAAGCCTATTTCGATTTTGCCACAAAACTATATGTAAATGAGAAACCTTTATTTGTAGCAACTTTCAATACACAAAGATAAGATTTTTAATAAATATGGAAATTATTTTTGGAACAATAAACTGCTTTTTATACACCATATAAAAATTAATTTAATAAAAAATCAAATTCTTCTTGTATTTGTATAATTTTGCAATTATGAGGTGCTAATTATTTCATATTGAACTTAATCTACATAAATAATAATATGATATATTATAATATTTATATTTAAATTCGTATAATTTCATAGTTATTAAATATGTGAATTAATTTTCTCTGCTCTGTCTCTATAATTTTCTAATTACTTCTTTTCTGTATGAAATTACTGCTTCAAATCTCCTAAAACCTAATTTACATTTTTTATATTACAAGTGAATATATTTCCTCTATATCCTTCTGATGAGCGGATAAAATTTCCTTGATGAATTTTTCTATATCCTTATCAGTGATTTAATTCTCAGGACTTGTCAACTGCTAATTCATTCGCTTCGCCCTTTCGTATAATTATTATTCTGTAGACATAATTAATTAATATAAATTTCACACTGTTTTATAGTCAAAGTGGAATCCTAAAATGACATTTCAATTAAATCACAAGGTAAATTTTATTCAAATCTATGGAATTGAACTCAGAAATAATATGTTTCTATGATAACAATATAGTAGTGTTAATAACTTGGGGATGTAATAAATTTCGGCTTATACATGAACTATTGCAATTCTATTAATACAATATAATTATATATATGATAAGAATAGGATTATAAATATAATTAGAATCCAATATCTCTAAGTGTAAGAATAAAATTAGTGATTAAAATTAATAAATTGAAATTGCTTTAATCAATAAACATATTAAAGAAAATAATACAAATAAATATTTGGTAAAAATGAGTACAAGAATTTATGAAATAAAGAATTATATAAGATTAAATGAAGGGACGATTATTTTAATAATTAATTTTTAAATTACATTATTCAATCGCATCATAATTATTATGTCTTTAAATAATATGTGAAATATTATTTTATATATTATAAAATTATAATAAAATGGACGCAGGAGGAGCTAACACTTTTGTAGTTGAACCAAAAGATGAGGAAAAGTAATCATAAAACTACTTAATTTTAGATTTTACCCTTCTAAAGTGAGAAAACTTATTTAAGAAATTATGGAGGACAAATTAAAAAACGAAACTTATGATGCAAATAATACCCCTATTATCGCAGAGGAACTTGTAAAAAGAATAAGAAGCAAGGTTAGAGATTGTATGGAAATATAATTTAATTATAGCCATAAAAATGCCTAGATTCAAAATTGCAGTTTAAGTAGTTATTGGAGAGGTTAAAGGATAAGGCTGTAAGGTCACATCAAAGAACCTTTGGGATCCTACTTGGGATAATTATGCATCATATGCCTACTAAAATGTATTGTGAATTAATTAATAAGGAAACTATTTATGGGGTTGGAATTGTTTTTGGTGTCTATTATGAATGAAATTTTGGATATTAAAAATTAATTATTATTTTATATTCACTTTAGAACCATATAACATCTTCTCCTCTTATCATCATAATTATTACTTTCTTATGAATACAAATTGTTAGAGAACTACAAATACTTATAATTAGAAATTGCATTTCAAAATTTGAGAGATATTAATAGAATGGTGTTGCATATACTCTCGAGATGCCATCTTCGTATAGTGGTTAGTACTTAGCGTTGTGGCCGCTAAAGCCCAGGTTCAATTCCTGGAGGTGGCACTTTTTTTTATTTAAATTTAATTTTTGTATTTATAAATAATTACCTCAATAATTATAAGATTAAGAAAAATACGTAGTTTTTGACAATGCCAGATTACTTTTATAGAATAACCTTCTAATTTAACAACATTCAATAAATATTAAATATTTTTGAAAGTCACTAAATTTTACAATTGATTTATTTTAAGCTTTTACATGATTAATACAGAATATAAGAAAATCATTTAAGATCTTTAAATGACAATGAATGAATAGGAGTATAGAATCTTTAGAAATTATTCATTATTAATTATATAAATTTTAAATGCCAAGAAGAAGTGGATCATCTTCAAGATCAAGACCAAGCCCAACAAGAAGCACAGCTACAGCAGCAAGACCAGCCCCTCAAGCTTAAGCTCCACCATAAGCACCAGCAAGATCAGGAGGAATGTTTTCTGGCCTTGGATCAACTTTGATGTCAGGCATGGCCTTTGGCGCAGGATCTGAGGTAGCTCATCAAGCTATAAGATCAGTCATGGGAGGATCAGGTATGATTTCTTAGTAATTTATCAAAGGTCATTCTCAACCTGCTGAATAACAAGCTTAATAAGAAGCTCCATAATAACAATAATAAGTTTGTCAAAGTGAAAGCCAAATGTTTTCGAATGTAAATTATATACTTAGGTTTTAGTGCTTGTAAACAAATCAGGACATTACAAGATGCCAACCATATATGGATATTTTCAAGGAATGCTAAAAGAAATACAATTTATGATGATTAATTATTGCATTAAATATATAGAACAAAAGATAATATCCTTAATGTTTAATAGAATAATTGAGAGGTAACAATGGTTTAAAAATCCTTTTTCTATAATGAAATAATCAACCTAATTTAATAATTGTTTAAATATCTAGAACAAATAAAATTAGTTTCTGATTTCAAGAACATCTCTAATAAAAAGTGATATTTTACTATATTTGTTTTGATGATCAAATACAATTTTAAATACATATTATATATATATCAAGATAATAAAAATAGAATGAAAAACAACAGAAAAGTATAGTTAATTGCATAACTGCAAATTCCATTTTCTCCTCCTCCATTAGCACAAACTCGATCATAAATATCACTGTAATCAGGGCATCTATTTTGCCAAATTACACATAAGAAACTGCAGATTTCATAATCAGTATTTCCATCATCACTACTACAATATTTGAATTATTCAGCACAGAAAACGTATCTTGCAATACCCAAACAATCAGAGTTGGGGACTCCAGTGGCCTTATAATCTTCATAGAGCTTCTTATAATTGGCTTTGGCCTAATTGATAGTCTTTAAATTTTTACTTTTTGATCATATTCTGAAGCATGATAATATTGTTCGCAAGTGATTGGATAATGTTATAAGTTGGCACAATAATGTTCAGACAAATACACATATTGATCTTCTTATTAAATTGTGTCGAATAAAGCCACACGAGATCCGCCTTCAACACAATAATTTTTATTGTCAATATCTGAAACTGTTAGATTAACCTTAAAAGAAGTGTCTTTTGCAACTGCATCACAATAATCTGAAATCTCTTATTCACTATTGTTTGTCTCTTCAGTTTAAATCACGATGGCAAATTACAATATACTTAAAATTAATAAATACATTAATTAATTAAGCATATGTAATTATAACTCCTTCTTCATCATCAGCTTTATAGTTTATATGTTTCTAATTTTGCTGAAAATAATGATGTTTAATTAATAGAATATCTTCCATTAACTAAGCTATGAGAATTTGATTTGATATTTTCATTAATAAAATTTTCAAAATCTCTGTTATGGGTATCTGCTCAGCAAAACAATCGGATAAAGAATTACAAAAGAATTTATATCTCTAAAGGTTAAAAGAATTCAAAGCTAAATTTAAATAAAGCACTGCTGAGATTATTATTCCATTTAATGAAGCTTAATATGATGATAATCAAAATATAGCTTAGTATGTTATTTAATAAAATCCAATTGTTAAAAGAAGAAGCAAACAATTCAATGAATTTAGTATTCTTCCATTTAAGATTAACGATAATTAAAATTGATTTATGATATTTAAATCAAATCTATTTTAGCTATTCAAATCGTAATTAACAAGTTCTTTTAGATGAATTTGTCCCAAAATCATATATTTATTTTCTAAAAAATAAAAAATCTTATTTCTTAGATGTAAGAGGATGGCTGTTCTTTAATCTTTGAACAACAATTTCTCATTTTTATGCAAATAACTAATTTAATATTATATAATAATTTTATTAAATACTATTTATTCAAAATAATACTTAATAAATATATTATATTTAAATGAGATTGGAAAAATTTAACATAGAATAATATTTCATTTTGCAGTTAAATTAGCAATAATGAGATCAAAGTCCATTCCTTCAAAAACAGTATCGCCTTTGATATCCATTAATGCTATTTTGACGTGTAATTTACAGGGGGTCAAAGGAGCTTTTATCTATAATTTAATATAGTCTTTTTCTAGAAAAATATAAATTAGCTTACAATCTTTTTAAAGATTAATAGTTTCAGTTTTGACTTCTATGATATTTGGCATACTGGAACATACTTTATAATTGATTGACTCTTCTTTTAGATTCAGATAAAGTATTTTCTTGTTCACAATTGAACCTTTATTAATAGTTAATTCATAGTTCCTAATTTCAAAAATATTTTGAGATAATAATACTTAACGTTGATGTAAGCCCAAGATTTTAAAATAACATCCCATTCTGGGTTTTGTAGATCTAAAACAGTTGGGATGTTTAAGGTTGCTTTTCTATGTTGTGATCTCATTTCGAATGAATTAAATTTATTAATTATTTGATAATTTGTAAATAATGAACCATTCAATAGATTATTTTAATAAGTAGTAACAAAAGTTATATGAATACATGGTTAATTTAACATAAAATGTTACAGGTGTTGAAAAGATAGTAAGTCTAATTGAATAATTAAAGCTTTCAGATTTAGTGAGATGCTTGTATGCCTTTAGTCAGGAGATCAAGATTGTTGGAGAGAAACTTCATACTCAAATCAGCAGTGGAGATGAGCCAGATATTTTGGTTTGTTTATATTAATAAGTGAGTAATTACTTATTGAGATTGTCAAGGAATTGGGAATTAACATCTTAAAGGATAAAGAGTGAAATCACTGAGCCATATACACAATTTGTATTGAATTTTAGATCGACCAATCGAAATTTGAATGCTGAGTCAAAAAAGCAAGTGAATGAAATATGGGAAACCAGAAAGGAGATGTGTAAAACCTAAGATGAATATTGGAAGATAATGAAATAATTCGAATAAAAGAGTTAATAAACACAAGAGATGGTAGATTTGATAGAGAAAGGGAGCGCAACAAGAGATGATCTTCAAAAATAGTTCACAAGTTCTTTGAAATTGTAAGAATTAGCTGTTGAATCAGAAAAAGATTATAAAAACCTATTAGCAATCACTAATGAGAAGTGGAAATCATTTCATGAAGAATGGGATAAGATCTTTGCAAACGTAGGATTGAATGAATAGAGTAGGTATACTAAATGAAATTTATATAATATAGAATAATGTTTACAAAGCAAACTGTTAGTTCATTATTAAATTTATTACCCTTAGATGAATACTCAAGTTAAATAGAAGAGAAGATTACAGATATGGAAGTTAAACTTAAAGAGGATCCAAAAGTGCCTATTCGTAAATTAATCGAAAAAAAGATGGAAAATAAAGATAGTAGACAATTATTAATATTATTAGCATTTAAATTTTAATTCGAAGAATTCATAAGTTATGACTAGTGGAAGAAGATTAGTATCAATCAAGAACAAAACAATACACTCTAATAGATTCATCATTAATGGCAAATAGTAGGAGACAGAATCTTAGAGGATGAGAAGAAGATTGTGGATAAATATCTGGCTACATTGTTCACAATTGATATCTCTGATAAAAGCGAATTACTTATTAAAGTTAAACAAATTCTGTAGAAATAAGCAGGCAGAAACTATTTCAATAGTTAATTAAGTTATCTTCATTCTAAATCAATTGAAGAGAAATAAACATGTACATATTGTTAATAATATCTTAGCATTTTATTTGGCTTTGTCAAATGAGTAATTTTAGGAATTAAATTAGTTGATAAGATTTTGGTTAAATTACATTGAATTGAATGATCTTTATGAATCTGAAGACATCTATGACTTATTGCTTAAATCAATAAGGATAGTACGTAAAGATGGAAGGGATAGAGTTAACCTTGCATCACAATTATCAGATATAACACTCTGGAGGAAGATAGAAAAATGGATAGAACTATTTTAGTATATCAATGCAAGAAAAGTGGATGAAAAGCGTAAGTAAGTGGAGTTATTGAACTAGTAAAACCAAAATAATATAGTATAGAAAGGATTCAAAATGATAGGCTCTATTTTTAAGAATTTGGGGCCGACCTAATAATCTCAAAATGAACTTAATGAAAGTGAAATATCCTATATGATTATGGAAGAAATCAATCTCTTTTTGACTTCTTTAAAATTACCATCAGATTTATCTACTGAAATCATAATCCAAATAGCATTTTAATAACCAAGTTTTGATAAAGAACATATCAAAAAGTTATTGGAGAAACAAGAAGATCTTCATAATACACTATGGAAGAAAATGTTTAAATCAGGGAAAAGCATGTTGACTTATAAATCTGAAAAGTATGATCGTAGGAAGATGGACGAGTATGAAAATAAAGTTGTTTAAGTTTTTGGTGCAACTATGAAGTAATCTATTCAAATTATATTAGGTATTTAACACTTGAAGATAACCCTTGGTAACTACTGTTGATTAATAGTTAATTTAGTCTGCATTTAAGACATAAGATAAAAAAGTTTTATTTGGCTAATGGATAGATCTTCTCTAGTGAGCAAACTCATCAATTAAGATTAAAGTTAATTGGATAGGCACTAAAATTGAGATCAATGAAAATTGATTATGTGGAAATGAAAACTAAAGTGGGATTAGAAATGGATATTAATCAATTACATGAAGAAACCATTAAGTTAGATGTTCAAAGAAGTCTGCATCTTCACAAAGAGAAGATCAATTCATCTGTACTCTAAAGCTTATTGAGAATATATGCATTCTATAATCAGGAGGTTGGATATTGTCAAGGCATGAATTACATAGCAGGCTATATATATTTGACCTTTTAAGATCAAGTAACAGCTTACAAGGCCTTTGATAGGATGATGAATCTCTATTTTAAGGATCTGTACATTAATGATTTCTCAAAACTGGTAATGATTTATATTTTAGATATAGAAAATTGGGTTTTATTAATTCGATCGATTACTATAGGTCTTTTTGCCTGAGTTGTCATAACATTTAAAAGATTAGAAGATAGATCCATCATATTATGTAGCCTCTTGGTTCATAACATTGTATTCCAATGTTTTTCAGTTCAGTCAACGATCGGCACTTTTAAATATTATATGGGACATCTTTTTGGCAGAAGAATGGAAAGGTATTTAATTTCTAATATTGAACTAAGGGTTTTTCAAAGTTACGTTTTATTTGCTTTGGTTATTGCAGTAAGAAATATTAGACTTAGAATTCGATGACATACTGCATTATTTAGGACAACTAATAAGAAGTGAATTCTTTACTATTGATAATGAAAAAGAATTGATTAAACTCATTTAAAATTATGATAAGACTGTCAAAGAGAATGAATCAATTAAGACAACCATTTTATAGAAGTTCAGAGTTACTAATAGAATGTTAAGAAGCTTGGATTCAGAATATCATAGTTTTCAAATGAAATTGAATAAAAAGTTGAATTTATGTTTGAAGAAATGAATCAATGTACATTAATAATGAATAAGAATTTATAATTATATTTATTAAGAGAACTAAATATAACAGCTCTATCATATATTCAGTAATTGCTGAATATTTAATATTATTCATCGTTTTAAATGTTAAGTTCTTTTCTAGGATCAAAATTAGGATCTTTTGCCTTTTATCTAAATATTAGAATCAATATAACCTTTAAAGAAATTAGAGCTCAGTTTGATCATCTCTATTAATAGGATTCTGTGGTAAGTCTGGATACTAAGTCAAATCTAATTGCTTTTTCTGGCACCAATTGATATAGTGAATTGTACAGAGAGTTCTAGAACCCCAAGGCCCTTTTGTAAAATTGGAGGCAAACCTTGCACCACAATATCTACACCAATCCTATAAATTAATAATGACATTTACATTTGTGTATTTAGAATAGTCAAAATGCTTAACTGGTATAATGCCTAATTCCTCATATGAATAAGGATGAATATCTTTGTTTCGTTTCTCTCTTTGAACTTTCTTTTATATCTTATCTTGACTGTTACTTCTACTGGAGTCCATTCTTCTTTTGTCTGAATCTTGAGTCTCATACTTTTTTTCTTAGATTTTACGTGTTCTTGCTGTAGTTCCAATGCTATTAAATTCTGCTTTGGAGTGCTTAACTTTCTTTTGATATCCTAAAATAGGTATTTTGACAATCATGCTTGCTTCACTCTTTTCTTATTTAGGTTTGACACATAGATCACAAATCATGACTTTTTTGCCAATCTTTTATATTTTTATTTTGATCTCAGGAGGAGCACATTTACTATGAAATGATCTACAACATCTAATGCAATGTATTAAAGCAGTCGTCATATTAGAAGAATTGATTTTACAGAATACACAAATATGAGATGGACATCTAAATAAGTCAGCATTAGTATCAAGTGATTTTGATAATGGATTGGCTTAGATACAACTCAAGTGAAAATATCGATTACAATTAGCAGTTGAACATTTAGATATGATTGATTTATTTTTGCATTTCTTTGGATTTTCATCTGATGGATCAAATTCATCAATTTAAACAATTTCTTCTTTTTATTTTTTGTCTGGAGGATAGGTTCCTTTCTATTTACAAAGCAAACAAACTACTAGATTATTTCTACAATCCGGACAAGAATATCTTATGTTGATCTTTTCCTTCAATTATTCTTCACTCCAATTGAATTCAGGGAATGCATTTTTATTAAGAAAATCCTAATCAGGACCTTCGATGTTGATATAATCAGTAGTCTCTAACAATTCTTTGCATGCATCATGAAATGCTCTTCTACAATGACCCATACAGAAAATAGAACAATTAGATCTTTCACAAACATAACATAGCTTTTTGATTAATTCTTCTTTACTTTTTGATGCTAATCTTCTGGCATCTTCTCCTTACATTTCAACAGTCCTTTATTATTTTCTACCTAAATCCAAATCAGTTATTTTTTTAATTCTTCTTGAGGGTTTACTTAATTCATAAATCCAATTCATGGCTAGTTCTCTGTAATTCTTTGCATAATTTGATGAATTTATTTTATTCAGTAAATCTGTTAATATTTATTCATCATCAGTACTATAATTAGATTAACTTAATTTGGATTCTATCAATTGATTAACACAATCTCCAACTTCTTCTAGATATTTCTTTTGTTCTTACAAGGACATATGTAAATCAAACATTTTGCTTAATTTCTAACATCTACTTTCTGAACTTTTTAAGATTATCTTCCAAAAATTAGGATCCTAGATATTGATAGATTTATCAGTCTTCTCAGACACAAATGATTATTTTGATACTGTATATGTCCCATTAATAAGCGAATATTTTGCTGTCCTTGAATTCTTTTCCAAAATCTCATCAATGTTTTTCTCTTAAAAAGTATCACCATTTTAATTATTAGTTATCAATCCTATTATTCCATTTTTCAATAGAACTTCCATATCTTGTTTGCTCATCTTTTTGTCATTTTTATTGCTCTTATATGAATTCTCACATGATTTAAATTGACCATTCATAAAGATTGCTTAGTCTAACCCTAATTTCTTAATTGCTCTTTCAAACATTTCTGCTTCATAAGTATCCTTCGTAATCAATCTATAGACTGTAACTTCTTTTGATTGACCAATCCTATGTGCCCTTGCAGTTGCTTGCACATCATTTTATGGATTCCAATCTGAATCATATATAACAACTATTTCAGCAGCAGTTAAATTTATCCCTTGACCTCCTGCCTTAGTTGATAACAGAAAAACTTCCCTTTTTTTAGAAGGATCATTGAATCTGTCTATTGCATTTGATCTTTCCCTTGCTTTGATTTATCCATCAATTTTTTCATATTTGACTTACTTGAATTTTAAATACTCTTCTAATATTGATAACATCATAGTAAATTAAGAGAAAATGAGCATTTTCTTACCTTCACTTCTAAATTTATTTAATAACTTATCCAATAGGATCATTTTACCAGAACTTTCAACTAATTTATTTATATAATCAATTTTAGTCTAACACCCTTTTGATAGATCGTTTTACATCTCTTATATTAAGAATGGATGGTTACAACACTTTCTGAGTTATATCTCAAGATTATTAAGAGATGCAGCATTTGCAGCCCATTATGAGAATCCTTATTCTAACATTGACTTATTTCGATCATACAACGCTTTATAAATATGTTTCTAAACTGTTGTCATCTCGATATCAATAATGGTCTCTTGAAGTGGAGGAATCATTTATTCGACATCTTCTTTTTGTCTTCTCAAAATGTAAGGTTTCAATAACACATTTAATCTATCAACCTAATCTGATGTTTCTAATTATCCATAATCTCTTTTGAAATAGTTAAGATTGGAGAATTGATTGGGTTCTATGAAGTTCAGTAAACTAAACAATTCTTCAGTATTGTTTTAAATAGGAGTTCCAGTCAAGAGTAAAGTGCGCTAACAGGAGAGTCTTTTAAGTGACTATAAGATTCTTGCATTAGAATTCTTTAATTTATGTGCTTCATCCACAACTATATATTAGAAAGGAATATTGATGAATATATTCTGAAAATCTTGCATAAATACTTCGTAACTAGTAATAAGAATTTGAAATTTATATATTTCTGAGGCTGTTAAGAGAATTCCTTTCATGCTTATGTCTGTATAAAAGAATTCATATTATCTACAAAGTTATCTGCCAGCATTGCTTTCTTAATCATAATACAGAACGGCATTTAGATTAGTCCATTCTTCAACTGTTCGTTTCCAATGTTATAGAGTAGACAGAGGAGCTATTATTAAGAATGGACCTCTGTAATTTTCAAAATTATATAGATGATTTAAGAATGCAATTGTTTGTATGGTTTTACCAAGTCCCATTTCATCAGCCAGAATAACATTTCTGTCTTCATACCATGCTCTGATTAACCAATTTAAACTATCAAGTTGATAATCCCTCAGTAATCGCTTATCCTTATAAATTGTTTGGGTGAGTTAAGTATATTCATGAGGAGGTTTTTATTAATTGAGGAAATATAATTGTGATTTGATGTCTTGGATTTGCATATTGGATAATTTCTTTTTCTTGATACCTTGATCATAGTCTATTAAAGTCTTATGATTTAAATTTTGTTGCATCATCAAATTTCTTGTTTCTTTATCTAGACTTCTATTAAATTATTTGAATTCTTAAATCTTTTGTCTGCAATCTATAAGAGATTCAGGTTCCCACGTTGCTTCTAGATAAGAGAGGTGTTTCCATTTGACAAAATAGAGTTTATCAGGTTCTTGTTATAGGTTCTGGATTTCCTCTTTAGTCAGTATTTGTATTTCCTCTTGTGATTCATTAAGCCATTCAAAGGATTTTTCACCTGGATTCCATGATTCTATATCTGGATCAACAACATCCATTTATGATTAAAAATCTTGCATTTCTAATTGCATCTCTTGAGCAACATCGATATCTTAAATTTGGAGGGATTACTTTAAGTAATCTTCCAGATCGAATTCTTAATCATTCTAAATTTGTAATTTAATGTTTAGTTCTTACTCTAAGATTATTTCAATCTCTTTAGAATGTTCTTGAAGATTATATTGTTTATCTTCTATGATAATCAAGACTTTAGAAACTAATTCATTGATTTTTTCTTTTTTCAATTCTGGCATAATATCTTTCCTATGAGCATCATTGATCTTTTCTTTGTATGCTTATTCATTAATATACCTTTGCTATTGTAATTTAGATTAATAGTTTTATTTTGCTTCATCATACCAAATATTAAAGAGCACAATAGCACATTCTATGAGAGTGTTAGTGATCTTATTCATTTCTGTTCCGACTTGCCATTCTTGTGTTGCAGCTTTAAAAACTGAACCTAATTCACACCAGAAATCACTATAATTTTTGTATTATCCCAAATAAAGTCGATTATTAATGGTTCCAAAATCAAGGAAAGTTTTTTATTCTAAGAAATAGACACCATAATGGATTTGATCTCTGGAGAAGTTGAGCAAGTGTGACATTACTTTAGTTAGTGATTCTGCCCACTTTCCTTTCATCTCCGATCCCTTTTTTGGATGAACAATAGGAAAGATTTCTGTACATGATAATACTCTGTCTACTTCTTAGAAGGCTGGATCAAAATACTAATCATCTAGAAAGTCATCGATTTCTTCCTGGATACGCTTCTCAAAGACTTTGTTAAATCTATTAATTTTCTGCTTGCCATTCTTTTCTTCAAGGATCTGAGGATATAGAATAAATTGATTATACTCTATCTTCATTAAGCCATTCTGTGTGTAAGTAACTTCTATTCTTGAACTTTACTAAATATAAGATTTAGGAAGTGTTTTAGTCTATCTTTCTACATAAAATTTGATCAATCTCTGGAACGAAGATGCGCTTCACTTCTGTTTCCTCAACTGGTTAATTTATGGGTTCATCTTCCTCGCTCATTGTGGCTGCATAATTCTTCTTGATAGCTCTGGCTGATCTCC